AAATACTTATTTCCATGAAATAAATCTTCTGCCTATTAAAATGATGGTCAAAAATGTGGCACTTGATAATGATAAATTCACCATATTGCTTTACTGAATCTCACTGTTTCATCCGATTTTTATTATGTTAGGTGTAAGAATTCGATTTTCAGTGTTATAGGCCTCAGTAATCTGTTGACCAACAGTTAATCAAGTCTTAAAACCAAACCCTTAAAAATATTTTTCCACGAATATTTTAAGAAATTCATCACACGCACATGTCACTGCAAGTATGATGATAAGCAGATATGGATGACTAAAGATTGCTTCTTATTTGAATTATATTATCCGAGTACGCGGTTTGTTTATTAGCTACAAACAAGGTGAGGGCTATATGAAAGAGAAGTTTGCATTTACCGCTGCTTTAAAATCAAATAACAGTTGCTTGATGTGAAACTTCGTTTATGAAACAAAACCATGAAAATTGAATTATTAATTTATACAGCGAATAGTATTTTCTTTATCAACATTCATCCATACAAGTATGCATAAAAATGCTTCATTTGGTACCATTGATGACACGAATGCTCCATAGTATGGTTGTTCCTTCGGAGTAAGGAACCGACCTAAATCATGCCGCCGTTGAAATATAAAAAACACAGGGCGACCGTTTCAGTTCAGCACGGGATTCCTCATCAGTGAACATCGCAAACCCTGCGTGTGAGAATCTGACCCAGAACCTCCAACCTCATGCGTGATCACTTAACCTCCTGGACATTAAGCCGTCACCGAACCGTGTTATTACATAATTTTAATCAGTCCACGACATTGAGCGATAATCTTCTATTGTCTTCGGTAAATTTTTCAGACTAAAGAATCATTCATGTTCATTTTGCATTGTTTGCTTGAATTTTCGTATTGTTATTCAGGACTTCAATTGATCAGTCTCTTACTGGTATATGTGAATCCTATACGGGTTGTCTTGATATAGCCTTATGTCATAAGTATTTAGGCAAAGATGGGTGGTGATCAACGGTGGAATCCAGTAAGCGCGTTTCACCCAGCTGACGAGTCCCAAATCGAACGAAACGCGTGCCTTGAATTCCAGCGCTAGCCACCACACATTCATGTTTGTAAAGAATTATCTCTTTTTTAATGAGCCTTATTGTTCTATTTATAATAATCATGATCTGTTTTTATCAAAGATAATAATCAGGACAAACCAAGTACACTCAGTATAGCTCAATCAATCTATATTGTCAAGTAATCCCTTGAGCGATTGTGGCGTACAGCTCGTGAATGTTAGTGATTAATTCCATATGGATATTGTTATCAATGATGTTATAATTATGGCTACATTAGTAATTATCACCATAGACTGTTAAACATAAAAGGCACATCCGTTTGGTGGAAAGGTCATAGAGGACCCTAGTAAAAGAACCTTGGGATTGAATCACACGGTCACCATCCACATTCAAGTTATTTATCAAAATGTAAAAACTTGTCTCAGCGTCTTGGGAAACAGCTTGTAAAACTTCCGATCACATACATACCATTTTGGTGACATTTAGTAAACGTACTCAGACTGGGCGTAAATTTATATAATTATTGAGCTATTTGGCTGGTTTATCTAAGAAACCAACTAATCAAGGCTTCACTACAACCGGTTCTGTTACAAGTGCATATTTTTAATCTACCAGCATTTGAAGGTAGCGAGAAAATAGCAACAGTAGTGTAAATTTATTGATTAAAAATTATCATACATGTTTCAAATCTGTTCTTCAAAAACGTCTTCAGAGTCGAAAAAAGTGCAAGACTTTTAGATAATTTCGTAGGGCGTCTCTAAATAGAGCTGTTTCAAGTTCCTGTGATGTGTGCAAAATGTAAAATGAAAAAAGACGTCACTCAACACATATTTACAATCAACATTCGGTCCAGATAAACAAATAAATTCCTATTTAGATAAAGTGACGAATATGTACTCCGCTAGCAGATTCTCCAATACACTCCTGACACTGGTTGGTTAATGCGACACTATTTCTTCAGACTGATCCAGAATTCGGTTCGCAAAGCTGATGGAACGTCTCTAATGCAATCAGTTTCTTTGTTCTGCTGGTTGATTAGTGGGGACACGAGTAAAAAGTAGTACAGTTTTAAGCCAACGAGTTAATAGACAATTTTATTAATACATAATTAAGGTTAATTTTCATCAAGATCATGAGCTATCAAGACGACAATCAAGGAAGCCTAGTTAGTAAATTGATGATGTATGTTACAAAATTACTTGTCTGAGAGACAAGAACAAAGGGCAGTAATTGTGCGTGCACCTCTGAGTAGTCAGAGACTATTTATATTATGAGTGTTTGCACAACAGTAGACAGTCTAAGGGCAAATATTTTGACTGGAAACCTTTAATCGTCTGTTAACTCAGCACCGAGTTGGTGCATTATTTCGATTCGGTTTTCCGAAAATCACTGTTAGGTCACCACCTAAAACATCCATATCACAAAGTGTAGTTAATATTCAAGTTCTACCAAGACTTACTTTTCTGCTTGAAGTTTACAGGCCATAATGAGATGCGTATGCGAACAATCTCACCCCTTAAAAATCTGGCTGATTGGTAACGGCATAACTACAGAGCAGGTCAAGATAAACAAAAAAACAGAATGCGTGTGGCATGGGTTCGTGGTCTTTTGGACTCACGCCCCCATATATTTGAGTAGTTAGACAAGGTGGGAGCTGACTGGATTCAGCGAAAAATTACGTGATTTTTCAGTAGGTTGCAGTTACCGTTTATTACAACCAATTGGATCGAACTACTAGAGGACAGAATCCTCATGAATCAGTGAAGCCAATTTTGGTTCATATTATGACACTCCAATAAGCCTTCCAATATACTTACTACAAAATAAGGAATGATAGCAATTGTAAGTCTCGATTTTGTAGAGTTATTTGGAGTAAGTCAGAACTGCCGCAAATAATAGCGAACAGAATATTTGTGTCACAATTTAAAAACCCATATATGTCCGAGACAGTAATCAATTATGTTTTTAAGTCAGAATTGAAATGCAAGAGAACTGTGGTGCATGTTGCTTAAAGTAGTGTATTATGTGCATAAGGTAATAAAACATTGTGTTCACAGGTTGATACACAAGTTATCAATCACTCGTGATTTTCACTTTCCGTCTAGGCTCACAAACAGTCAGTGATATTATAGCGAGTTATTTATTCCAAACATTTTGCCACAGAACGTTTACTAAATTACCGGCCACTACTCTTCTTCATTTAATTTATGAGTCGAATGCTCAAGGCATTTCGGTGGGATCTTTTACTCAGCTAGTAGTTACAGATTTACACGTTGGCCGTCTGGCTCATCAAGTTTATCGTGTGAACACTATCTAAATACAAAATTTCAATTAATATAAAATAACTTAATTGTTATAGCTGCGCGTATGTGCCATCGTTATAACCGATTTTTTGTCATATATCAGAAACTTACACCGATTAAATAAGATTTCACACGCTAAATTTACCTTATATCCAACTGCTTGACAGGCATGGAACAAAGACAACTCAATTTCAACAGATGAGAACTTCATGAAGGTTTTTAAGAAATAAAACACGCTAATCCTATATGCGTCTCCTACGACTATATAGCCTTCAGATTAGTAAAAGCCGGATGGCATCAATGCATATGACAAGTAGGATAAGAGTTATTGCTATATGTTTCTACGATGCAACAGGATCGTAGGGTTAAAACATACCATACCGATAAAATTGAGCTATTTATCCAAAAGTCAGGAAGCAGTGTTTCGTTGCGAAACAACAATTAGTAGTAATATAGCAGAGGACGAATAGCTTCAATGTGAATAATAAACCTCTATACGTTGAGTAGTCCCATACTGGATTCACATGCAGATATATAAATTTAGGTTAGAAGACTGACGACCTGCATTTGTCTCTTTCTAGTACGCTTGCGTGGGTGAACAGTTCCCTCTTGAATGAGCCAATTGAAAGTGAGGGCACTAGGAGGGAATACAAGGGATATATCAGGTTCAAGATCATGTATTATTATTGCATGCATCACATCTACAACTGCTAGCCAACACAGAGTGACCACTTCTCGATATATCGATATCCTATCAAATATGTTTTCGAACCTCTTCGCTTCCGACTTCCGATTTGACTGGGTTGCCATATTTCGATTATAGGTGTTACTGGTTAAAACGCTGTCAAACTTCGAATACCTGCGGCATGTTTATAGTTATACTGAGTCTCGGAATTTAGCGGGTAGCATTTTAGCATTATATCTGATATCCGTCTATCACGAAAGCCTTTACCTTAACTTCTAACTCCGATTTCCAGATCCTGATTACCCACACTAATTTTTAAACCCTTTCTGACCATTGTAGGTTAGGTTTCTCAAGGTCACCGGCGTTTATCGTGTGGCACACGTACTTTGTGGCCTCATCGCGTCACTAAAAATTGCGTCTTAGCTGCATATTTGTTTAGGCTCGTTCACACGGTTACGTCGTGCCAACTGGATATCTTTCGGCATAATAGTAACACGCTTAGCGTGGATAGCACACAAGTTAGTATCTTCAAACAGTCCAACCAAATACGCTTCACTAGCCTCCTGAAGAGCAGACACGGCTGAGCTCTGGGATCGTAGATCGGTTTTGAAGTCTTGGGCGATTTCTCGGACCAAACGCTGAAATGGGAGTTTGCGAATCAGAAGTTCGGTACTCTTCTGATAACGACGGATTTCTCGGAGTGCGACTGTCCCAGGTCTGTACCTATGTGGCTTCTTCACGCCCCCGGTAGCTGGGGCACTTTTGCGCGCAGCCTTGGTGGCTAGCTGCTTTCGAGGCGCCTTACCTCCTGTTGATTTGCGAGCAGTTAGACATGATAGACATTTTTATAATCTTAAGCACTCAAGAACCTGATTCCATTGAGTTTTACTTGGTTTATAACATCTAAAGAAGTATTCTTAACTTCAGTTTTAATGTCTTGCAAAATCCATAGGGCGCAATCGTTCAAGGCCGTCAGGTAGACTTTTTATCACTGAAACCCCGAAAGACTGAGTTGGCAACAATTTGATCACGAGGAGGTGAACGATTGCGTATACATACATGCACTCTAGATGCTTATAAAAATAAACAAATGGAAACCCAGACAGAGATCTGGCGCGACTTTCGACTGGCCACTGTCCTTAGATTATCAGGTCTTATGGGTATTTCCTATGGTGAGGGACAGACAACTTTCTTGGGAACCTTCGTTGCATAGAACAATAAGGACTAGCAATTTCGTATTCAGGGTCTAAATACCGATCGTTTAAATGCACAAAGAGTGTCGTTTGCGTGACTTCAAAGGATTCAGACCTACGGGAGGTGAGACATTTGTATGTTCCACTCATTAATGCTGTTTTGGTAAATTTTATTCCACTTGAGTTCAGATATGTGTTTCATTACCAAAGTGGTTCCTGACACAGTGATGTTTGTTTGGCAATGTTGGTGCTGTTCGAGCAACTCGTCTGTGAACTAGTTAGAGTGCTTAAACCGAGAGTGGCCTTTACTTACGTCTTATTTTAAATATTATCTGGGAATATAAAGTGATAGGCGAACTTTGTAACTATCATTTTCTACACCAAATGAAAGTTTGAGCTTGCTAATTTAATATCCTCTTGGGACTGCCTACTAATGAAGAAAGAAAACATCCTATACTTTATTAAATCAAACAGATAATAGTAAAATTTCACCGATTGATTTCGTCTGTTGATATTTATCTTATCCTCTGGGATCACTTTAGTCCCTTAAATAGTGGAGTTCAATTGCTATCGACTAGACTAGTCAACTTGTAATAAAGCGTCCAATTAAAAACATATTCTGTACATCAAAGTCATACTGAAGCTTCAATGCATTAAGATATCCATTACTGCGTTAATTATGACAGTAATTAGCAATCAGCAATCGTCTGTAGCTATCTTGCATTTCGATCCCACCTATGTATGCAAATACCTTGTTGTCTGTCTAGAAATTCTTGATTATTCACTGTTATTCAACATAGCTACTTATATCAATGGGGAATCTGATGTGTTGTAGTTGGTTCTGCAAATTAACGAGGAATAAAAATTATTTTGAATATGATGTGCCAAAATGGTAGGACTAAATTAGAAAGCATGTCTGATTGTGTTTCAAAGCCGTACATTTGGTCCGATTCATTAAAGCTCAACTCTGCACTGAAGTTTTCGTAGTTTGATTATAAAGGGTTTCCTATCGAGTGTATTATAATGTTAATTGTGGTAAATAATCATCTTGGGCTACTCCTTATTTGGATAGTTTGTAATCAGCTACTCAGTTGTTTTATGGACTATGATCAAAACACATTGAGCATGCTTGTTCGCTTCTAGTATTACTTAATACCCCTCACCCCAAAAAGTCACTTGCCTATTTTGAACTATATTTTGTTTTAATTTCTTTTTACCGTTCGTATTTTTTGATAATCCTTCGCTTTTCTGGTTGTCAGTTTCCTGTTTCTCAGCTGATGCGAAGGGTGGCGATTGAGACTAATGGACATTTGTCCCAGATTGTACGTTGTTTTTTAAGTTATTGGCTTCTCAAGATGGATCTAAACAACTAAGATTCTACTTATATATCTCCTATAGAAATAACTTAGTATTTTGCAGAGTAGTGTTGCTAGCGTCAGAAAAGTCAACAATGTAATCTAAGAATACCTATTTCCATGTTGGGATGTGCTCATAAACCAGGTGGTCTGAATACTTCTCATTTAGTTTTCACTATTGATGAAAGGGTTTTCTATGAGGTTTCATAAGTGTTATAGTAACTAAAAGATGGGCAAGTAGTTTAAACGTAAAAATATCATGACATGTGTTCTCACAGATTAAAGGGCGGATTATATCAAATTGTCTTGAACTAACACCCGTTGTCACGAATAAAGCTCACCAAGTACATAGTTTGCTTATTGTGTAACAGCAGTGCTCTGGTTAGGCTTACTGTACTTGGCAAATGTAGCGGATTATTGACAAGATTGTCAATCATCGACTGAGATGTCTTGGGTATGTTAGGGATGCCCGACTACCTCCGTATTTCATAGTTCCTATCCTTCGAAGTCATCTCTTCGAACCACATTCTTCGATGTGCAGTCTTTCAATATCATTAACATTACTATTATTCCAGCTCAGCTATTCATATTTGATAATTTCTTTTTGTGGTGATGTGATATGACAACATGTGGTACCATACGTTTGTCCCTAACTGTAGGCTGACTTGGTGAGTCGTTTGTTTATTTACTCAAATCATATCATAACGTATTCGCCTTTGGACCACATTCTAAATGTGGGGCTGGTGACTATCCGGTTGCATAAACCGAAGTACTTGATATTGAAGCTCAAATCTGTGACTTAATGGTTGTAAATTAAACGCCCTAGCTTCCAAGCCACCGCTTCAGTTAGTATTCAATACCTAACTGTTAATGGCGTGCTAGTTATATGTGGTTTAATATGTAACTTTGTGATTATTTATTTTTAATTGATGTTATATCTCGTATTAAAAGGCTAGTTTGTCAGCCTAGTGGGTCATCCTTAACGATCATTTCAATAAGCTGTACTTTCTAGATAAATGTAAATTCATTCGTGTAGAAAAACGTGAGTCTCTAAAACATAGTCCTTAATATAATGAAAGTTTATGACCAATTCCAGTTGATATTAATCCACACTGTTCTCTCTAATATTCACTTTCATTCCATAAATTTAAGTACGAAAAATGTTATTTTAATGAAACACTGGGCTTGCCACTTTAAACAAGATGTTGATAAGTCTAAGCTTTGCATTACGGAATTTTAGTATTCAAAATTACTCAGTTTAACACTTTGCCAGTAAGATCTTTCCATATATGCGACTTTTCCAGTGGCAGAATGTTATAACTTGTGGCCTATTTGTCCTGTTAATGTATAACGTAATGATACCGCCAATCAGAGAGCAGTGGATTATCGATCAGACCAATAACGCATAAAACACGTGCGAGCAGTCTAGAGTCCTTATTGGTCCTGACTGACCGACTAGCTCAACCAGTTAAGTTCAGAACACCAATCTCAGCCTCTGCGATATGAACCATTTATTTCAAACATACAGGGTTTATATACTAATCAAACAGACCACATCGTACCATAAAATAAGAAACAACATTTGTACTAGATTTAGTCAAATGTGGCTGTGAATAAGGGGAATAGTAATTGATAGACAGGGCATAACTCAAGAAAGGTAAATCGTATAATAACAGTTCATAGGTCAAAATAAAGCTCATAATGAGAGGGATATGCATATGAATAATTTAGTTATTTAACAATTAAACGATAAAAATGTACGCATAATATTAGTCCATAAATGGATCCCAAGAGTTACTATTCATTATTCTTATCGGGACATAATACGGAAATCTAGTTCGATATTTTTAAAGGTATTTTAGTTCATCCATATCCACGATAAGACTGGTAGTCTCTCAAACATTTTCTGCCATGTATTTGTTATTATTATTCAAGTAGATATTAATGTCAGCCAAGTAAAAACCTGTGTACTGTATTTAGAACCACATATTTTTTATCTCAGGATTAGTCATGATATTGAGTCAGTCAGTCAGCTGTTAGAGGTATGAGGGCGGTTATCACTTCCCGGTTGCCCACACCGAGGAAGGGTTCTTCTGGAGGTACCTGAAAAGGAAATTGGATTAGAGGTGGTCTCAGTGACCTGAGAGCGTGACCGCAGTGCCCAAGGGACAACTGCTTGAGGCCGGTCGCGCACGGCCTTTTCGTGGGAGGTTTTTGACGTGTTAGCTCCGTTCTTCAAAGGGCCTTATCGCCGGAGACGGAAATCCGTGAGGTAAGGTGAGGTGTGCATTTTTAGGGTCGACCTTTTCTAACCCCACCCCTCCTTGTGGGAAGGCAGCATCGCTGTCATGCTGGTTGTCTGAAGGAAACACCTTACTGCTGTCACACCTCTGTACAGTCAGCAGTACGACTTCGCCTTCGGACCTTGGGTTTGTTGCTTTTAGTCTTACCGCTCTTCAACCGACCAGTCTGGCATGGTAGGACCTTGAGGAACGGTTGTTCCAGCCAGTATAGCTCGGTCACTTCATCACGATAGGCAAGCCCGACCACCACGTCAAGGTAGCAACAACGGTCGGGCATGATATTGAACTACCTAAAATAAGAGTACTAGCACCCAAACATGGGACTCACTAATTGAAATTTGAGTGTTTTAACTACTAGAACACCACATTTAGATCCACATTCTTCGTTATGAAGACACGTAGACAATTGATTTTTAGAAATATTGTTTAGAAACAACGCAGACGATCGGAAAAATAAAAAAGAACATTTTATATAGAATAAAAGAACAAGTATATGGATTGATATAAAAGGTACGAGCTCACATAAATTTAACTAGGGTTTGGAAGCGTGGAGTTTGAGAACGAGTTCATGTCTTTCATTACTGATTAGTACTCCCAAAATGCAATCGACTAACTTCAATCTATTACATTAAATGTTCCACTAAACCAAACTTCTTAAAATCAATAATAAACCATTTTGTTTTTTATTTCAGCTTCACTTCGATATAGCGTGACGTTCTTGCAAATTGATTTGAAGAAAGGTATATCCATCTTTAAAAAATTCCTTTGATAAATTTGGATAGTGTAACAAGATGACGAATATTATCAGAACTATGTGATATACTAGCAGTGTGATCATATTGTTCGAAATGTAGTTCTGATAGTGTTCTTATCCATTTTTATTATTAGTGATTTGAACGACCGTTCCATTTGTGAGCTATGCTAATATTTCACAACTCCGACTTCAATATAGTGAACAAGACTTCTATTCTCTTCCCCCCACTAGCTAAAGCAAGAAGTATAGTTTAGTAGTGGGGGTTCTGTTAATGATGAACACAGTATCTTTAAAATACACTTAAGTTGACCGATTATATATCAGTTACAATGATTAGAATTCATGAACTGAGTATTTGTCACTAAACACAAATCATATTAAGAATGTATTGGAAGTCGATAAGCGGAGTCCGCACTGAATTTAATATGACAAATTCATCTTAACCGATTATGATTTCTTTTCTCGTAAGTTATATGTTAGGATTGCCTGAAAATTGTTTTTCTTTGTCATAGGTACATTTGTTGGCCATTTATCTATTCTGCGAATATACTAAGAATCTTATTCACAATCATATAACATTCGTTTTTATTTCTTTTATACTACGTCACTTATCTACCCTCCTTTATTCCCACTTTGTGTATCCTTATTTTCAACTTATACAGCAGTTCGCCTATGGTGGAAACCCTATTCTATCTAAATGATCTCGACAAGCCTGTTAGTCGGAGCGTGCCAATGAGTTAAAAGCAGCAGTTGCATCTAGTAACTTCCGGAAGTTCTTCTAACTCATCCGAGTCAGTGTCAGCAAGAAGTCTGGTGTGAGCGGAACAATCTATGAAGATGACGGGATGCCAATCACTAACATTTATCGACGTCTATGACTATGGGCAGAGTTTTTCGAGGAGCAGTTCAATTGTTCCGCTGCTCCGGCAACATCGATCAGATCGTCCTACCCTCCACGGCCTGTGACGACCGATCCATCTAACAGGGCGGAAGTCTGCAAGGAACTCCAACTCTTGAAGCGCTACAAATCACCAGACTCAAATGACCTACCTCCTATTCGTTTTAAAGTTAGTGGCGACCTTCTGGTTAAGGATTTAACTGAGTTGTTTGCAAATGTCTGGCAATTAGAGAGTGTTCCAACATTGTGGAATCAGTCGATAGTTGTCCCTATCTTTAAAAAGGGTTCACGTTGTTTCTGTAACAACTATCGGGGGATAAGTCTGCTTCCGATTGCGTTCAAACTGTTGGCTTCCGTCATACTTTGTAGGTTGTTCAAAAACCCGAGAAAGATTGACTCTCAAGGAGCAGGCTGGGTTTCGTTCTGGTCGAGAATGTATTGATCATATATTCACCCTCCTCCAAATGTTAGAACACCGTCATACTTATCACAGGCCAACAATCGTAGTGTTTCTCGACATCAGGGCTGACTCCGATTCGTTGGACAAGACTGTTCTCTGGGATTGTCTATTGAAGAAGGGTGTGCCTGAGAAGTTCATTAACATCTTAAAGGCCCTATATACAAACACCTCAGGCAGAGTGAGGGGATACAACCACCTCTCTCCATTGTTCTATTCGAGCAGTGGGGTTAGGCGGGGTTGCCCAATCTCACCATTCCTCTTCAACTTTGCCGTCGATGACATTCTGGAAACAGCTCTGATGGATGTAAGTAATGGCGGTGTGGATCTGTTGCCTGGAGAAAGACTTCTCGACCTTGAGTATGCGGATGATATTGTCTTACTGTGCGATAATGTCCAAGCCATGCAATCCGCACTTAATCAATTGGCAATCAGTGTGCGTAGGTATGGTATGTGCTTTGCACCTTCGAAGTGCAAAGTACTTCTACAAGATTGGCAGGATTCTAATCCTGTAGTCGAGAAGTTTGTGTATTTGGGTAGCTGCATAAGTGCTGATGGTGGCGTGAGTAATGAGATCAGTTCACGTATAGTCAAAGCCACGGTGACTTATGCCAATCTGTGCCATCTTTGGCGCCTTCGGGATGTTAGTTTGGCTGTAAAAGGTCGGATCTACAACTCGTCGGTGAGAGTAGTTCTGCTCTATGCTTGTGAAATCTGGCCTCTCCTAATTGAGGATATTAGACGACTCTCTGTGTTTGGTCATTGTTGTCTCCGAATGATTGCTGACATTCAGTGGTAGCACCATGTTATTAATGCAGAGGTTTGGCATCGTATGTTTGGGAACAACGACGACCATTCAATTGATGCCACTATCTTGAAGCATCGACTTCGGTGGCTTGAACATGTCTTGCTAATGTCGTCCCAGAGAATTCCACATCGTGTATTATTTGCTTACTCTGGGACTGGTTCTAAAAGTCGGAGAGGTGGTCAGTGTATGAAATGATGTCGTAGTATGAGAGGGAGCTATACAGGACTGGCTTCTGTTGGTTCTTCACGACTCCGTGATTGGGGTCTTAGAGACAGTGCAACACTGGCTTGAGACGTTATCAGACATGGCTCAGAATAGAAGCAATTAGCGATCCTACTGTAATTTTATTTTGTTTTCTTCATAAAAATAAACGTAACTTCTTCAGATGGAAGGATTCTTTCTGGTTGTATTTTTCCTAACTGAACTGTTTCTCCCATTATTATTATTATTATTATTATTATTATTATTATTATTATTATTATTATTGATGATAATAATAATAATAGTAATGATAATAATAACTTCACTCTCATACACTAATTTCTGTTCATCATTGTTCTCTTTATTATACGCACTTTACCTCTTTCTCTTCACAACCTCATTTTTATTATGTGGTGCATACGTATTTGGTGCCCCCTTGCACCAATGTTTGTGTTTTCAAATAAATGAATAAATAGCTAAGAATTCGTGGAAATTGGTCCAAACACTTGTGACAAAGTTGTTCAAATAGTCTGTCTGCAGTACTTAGTTAAACTAGTCTAAATATCAAACCAAAGTTGTTGCCTCGGACCTATTTATCACATTTTCTGATTCCTTTTGCTTGTCGTCATACTTTGTGTTTCCATTTTATATTTTTTTTCTGTTTGCAGACACATTTTGTGTTTTAAATAATTTATTAAAAGGGATTTACAACGATTTTACTAACGCTTATCGACGCTTTGAAGAATCAGATGTTTCATTTCAAGTGTCTGCGCAGCGCAGAATTGTTGCACGACTTAATGTGTTAGTTCTTATATCACAACGTGTATTCGAGGCTGTACGTGGACTACCTCACCTAAGAACTCCTCTTCTCCGATCAGTATACCATATGTAAGTCACAACTAATTTAGCTATAATTTCTTAAATTTTGTTCACTATATAAAATTTTTATCATTGATTACTTGGTTTGGTTACTTGGTCAGTCACAAATTTGTATCTTTTCAAGTTGTCGCATCTCATACAGCAAAGTGAAAAGAGAAATTAACAGATTAAGAAACAGTGCACGAGAAATAATATCGATGATATTGAATAACTGAAAATAAAAAATAAAACCAGGTTTTCAGTTCTGCGGTCACACTCTCAGATCTATAGGACCACCACTGATTCAGCTTCTTTATCAGGTCTCTTAAGGAGAAATATCCTTCTACGGTGTAGGCAACTGGTAAGTGATAGTTGTCTTCATACCCCTATCAGCACGCGATATCACGGTATTGGCGATTAGATCCCTCCATGACCTACTAATAATTCTCCCATACCCACGACTAACCCTGCTGGTATATCTTTATCACCACACCCCACCAATGTTAATAATCTGAGTTCACGAAATGTCATTCCTTTTCTCCTGAAACCACACTCTAAGCTACATGTTGGAGCTTCTAATGTTTGAACCTTGTGTCAGATAGAACACCAGGTTTCTTTAACTAGGACTCTAGAATCTCTCACCATCGATGTATGCTGTGTCTCCGAAACTCACATACAGGATCCAAGTACAGTCATTCTTTTGACTTCACCTTATTGATATAAAGAACTGGGACGATTTATCCTTCGCGTATCTGCACAACCCATTGTAATTCTTGTGGCCTCGCTGGTGTAGGTCTTAAAATTCCGGCTGTTAGCTAGATTCTTGGAAAAAGACAGGTCCGTTGTTCACTCTCAATCCAGGAGATTGGAGCGATGGGCAGAACATTTTGGAGAACAGTTCAACTGACCTTCAGTCACACTTCGATTACGCACTCTCTCCAAGCAGTCTAAATGGTGATTGATGTAGGTCCTCCAACCTTTAGTGAGGTTGAAAATGCTATAGGGAATCTAAAGAGAGGGAGACCAGGAAGGCCTGGTAGATATACTCCTGAAATGTTTAAGTATATTGGTTCTAGAAAATAGATATATTTTTCGACGTCCGACAATAACTATATTGCTTGACCTTAAGGTAACATTTGACTGTTGATTGTGAGGCTCTTTACTACTGTCTGTCATTGAGAGTTGACCAAACAATTACGCCAACCTTGTGCAGGCTCTCTACTCTAACACTACTGGTCGAGTCGAAATCTATGGGGAACTCTTATCGCAGTCGATAACTTCAAGTGTTCATCAGGGTTGTCTGCTTTCCCCACTTTTATTTAACTTTGTCACATACATCCCTTTAGAGTTAACGCACTCATTGTCAGACTTCCCAAAGGTCGATCTTCTACTAAAAGATTCACTTGTTGACTTAAAATACACAGGCGATATAGTTCTACTTGGTGCAGACGCTGACAAAATGCAGCCTTTTGACCACCAAACAACAATGCAAGCATGTTTGAGATGAGATTCTCACCTCCAAAATGCAGAATGTTGCTTTAGGATTGACCTGCATCAGCGCTTGAACTTATGATAGAAAGTGAAGTGGTTGAGTACATCGACCGCTTCAATTATCTTGGAAGTTTCATTGTTCCTGATGGTCTGGTGTCTGACGAAATCTTGGTACGAATTCAGGGAGCTCGATTGGTCTTAACCAACTTGCGCCACTAGTGGAGTAGACAAGGTATTCGTTTGCCAACCAAAGAACCAGTTTATAGTGCAGTAGTTTGCTTCGTTCTACTTTATGGGTGTGAAACATGGCCATTAAAAATAGATCTTCGTAGGTTACGGGTATTCGACCATAGGTGTCTGCGAAGTATTGTCTGTGTATTTCGGGACCACCGAGTAGACGATTCCTGGCTTGGGAATATGGTACTAGGTGAGGATGGCAAATCAATTAAAGAGGTAGTAAATCTTCATCAACTGACGTGTTTGGGACATGTATTATGTATAGCCAATCATCGCCTACTTCGACGGGCAATACTTTCTGGTGTTGAAGTAGGTGAGAAGAAAGTTGGGGGCGGCCAAATCAAAAGGTGGCATCAGTTCATGTAGTCATTGACAGTAGTTTATATACTACCTGGTTGGGGTCTGGGTGATTATCGTAACTAATGGTTAGAGACTTTGAATGACATGGCTTACAATCGTTCGCATGGTTGATAAAAATGAAAGCTATGACTGAATTGTTTGGGCGACCAAGCAACCTAAATAATTATCACAATAGATGTAGCTAGTAGTTTAGTACAATAATCTATGCACGGATACTTAATGTGATTGATTTCAGTACTTTTAATTACATTTTTATTCTATGTTTAAGCTATAATGTCTATAGTTACTTAGCATTTTTAAATCATCTCTAAATTATTTTCTTGTGGTTCTTATAACTGAATGATAAACTGATGTTTAAGTGGTCATCAATGCATTAATATTAAAGTCCAATCATCGAATATATTGACCATCTTTTTTATTATATTTCTCATAATCTGACTAAAGTTTACTTAACGACGTTTTTCTCGTTTCCATATTTGTGAAACGATAAAATAGCATTGTATTAGCGTTGTTAGTAGGTTATTGATATTTTTGTTTCACATCAAAAGCTAACTTTTGAGCTAACAGAAACTATACGACCAATTAACTGTAAGTTTATGTACATATTTATCATTTTAGTAATTAATCACCCGGTGTCTGTCTGTTAGATAAAGTTTGATTATCATTTATTTAATTTTTCGTCAAATATTTCTCAAGTTTTTGACATTATATCAAGTATTTTCGTCTCGGTATCTTGATTATTGTAAGGAAATATCAGGAATACCGATGTCTTGTTTGTTACTCAATAACTGTATGGAGATGATTTTTTAGTTAGTAATGATTATAGAAATGAAACAAGAATAGTCCTAATAATAATAATAATAATAATAATAATAATAATAATAATAATAATAAAATAACCATGCACTTTGCTGACTGCATTTCCTCATCGAATCCTTAATGTTTCCAAATCATTTTTTAGTTGTCTCAAGGAAAAGTGGAAACTCAAGGTTATTTGAACTAATATCGAATTTCCTTTCATCGTAGACTAATGTTAAACATCAAAAGGATTGAACGACTGCTTCAGTCTAGTTCAAGACTCATCACCATTACATATGTGCTAACTCTGGATTGATAGTAATATATACATCCTGCTGCTAATATGATTGGTTCCATTTAACCTCTACTTAGTCAAAATTCATTGATTTATTTGACTTCATTTCAATCCATTTCCAATATTAGTATAATCTCATTGAAGAACACTGATTAGTAGCTATCTAACTTTCTCGGTGGGAATCCTTTACTTTTGATTTTTTACTCATTTGATTGTCGCCGTTGGTAAACGTTATTTGTAATTAATTTCGTATTTTCTATTATTAAGTGCTTAAATGTATTTCAAAGAAGATTTAAAGTTTCATATGTGTTATTCGGTTTTCCAAACTAATCATATACGTAAAATTTAAACATTTTAAACGTTTCTTATATAATACTAACTTTCTATTCAGTTTACGTTTACCACTTTGGCACCACAACCCTTCACTGCGATGTGCAGCTTTACGTTGCCTTCGTTATTATGTACATAACAGCGTTGATGTTGAGCTACTCTTGGAATGTCGTCTAGATCTATTGATTGCCCGGTGAGTTTTAAATATTTCAAAATAAGATTCAAGTCTCTGGTATTTATAAACGATTGTGCGCTGTTCTGTTTGCACTTAATTTCCTTTTTTGACATGACTAAGTACCTAAAAGGTTTTATTCATAAGTATAAGAATTTGGTTTATCTGGTCCACAAAAAAGACAATAAAAATAGATTTGCAGACAGCGGCAATACAATTAAGAACAACAGTCAATATTAGTTTCAACAGAACAATTTGTTTGTCGATTATCAAGAAATTTTTAAAGCTCACTTCATTCCTTATTAGGAGCTGGTAATGTTCAGAAGGACAAAGAAAACGTGATTAAATGGTCCAACTCAGAGAACACAGTACCTCCCAAATCCTCCTCTTGAGCTATGAGTCTCTTCATCATTTAATTTGTCGTTTAAAAACTGATTTTTTTCCACGAGATTCCAAAACTATACTTGGACTAATTGTTGCTTTGAATCGCATACATTTAAATTTTTCAGTAAACTAATACTGTCTATGGGGTGTAATCTTAATTTTAAAGCTTTGCAAAAATAAATGTGTCTTGTTGATCAACATGTTTCTATATGCACATATTAAATATCAGATAAAATGTCAATTGTGTATGTTTTTTGTAAAACTTTACTGTAGATGTATGGACTTATCTTATTATCCCACAAAGTTTATTTTATCAAATGGGTTGTCTGGAAATTCTTCGGCTACCTCAAGGGCAAATAATAATCCACGTACTAAATTCCTTGTCACATCGAATCCAATCAGTTCTACGTGTTATTCTTCATCTTACCAGTTGAGTGAAGAATCATCAAATCATCAGCTAATTAGTGATCATTATCAATCCTCTGGAGTCTTATTAAAAGGGACAAATGCTACCCGTATGTTACATTGTTTTATGTTAGTTTTGATTATTTCGTATTCTATATGGTGCTATTTGGCTATTTCATGTGCTAGTATACTTAACGATTGAGTGTTAAGCAATGGTCTATGCGAAATGATGTTTCAAAACTAGGTTCGAACCAGAATAGGTTTCATTTGTCAAAAGAGTATCTTGGTGTCTATGTAGAATATAAGAAAATGACATAGTCTTTACTAAGTTCGGGTTTGCTTCGTATCCAAGCCATTTGATTACGTAGTCTGTAAAATCATACCCATAGGCATTTTATATCCGGATTGATGTGATAAAAAGTTGGGGAGTTTGATGTATACATTGTCCTGTTTTCAACACTACCAATAATTCTTAGATACCTATCTAGACACAAAGTTCTCAATATGGTGAGTAGTTCACTATCGAGATCGATGGATGCAAAAACTTCTCTTAATTTTATATAGGTAGCTAATGCCTTGTTGAAACACTATGGATACTGATCACCGATCGATTAGGTGAAGTTTGAGTTGTCTGCATATAATTGCACAATGAGATACTGTCGGCTTACTCAAATATGAAGAACCTTCAACTTACAAGTCTTCACTGTCACTATAAACATAAAGTGTTTTTGAAGTGATTAGATCAGACAACCTAGTTTAGCAATACTATCTGTAGGGAGCAAAGCTGTTAAACAGTTATGTACTCTAATATTGTTTAAGTTACCTTTGTATAGAACTTTCAATGTGTCGATAAATATTTCAGTATAACAAGCAGTCCCAGACCACAGTCATTTTCAGCTAATAAAAGTCAAACCTAATTACTAGCTAAATAAACCGGTTGTTAGCTTGCCATATGTTTGTTAGTGGAGAGAGGCTATGTGAATATAGAATCCATAACCTGATTGAGACCTCATGAGTTATTTTTTCTATGCGTTTCATACAATCCGAGCACAAACTAAATTTAATGTAACTCACTTACAAAGTACAGATTCGTGTGATCGACTTTTAGCTTGATTTTCGATACGATAGCTAAGGATACTACTCTCCTAGAAAGCACTTAAAAATGAAACATTAGAAATAGGAGACAAGGTCAACTAATATTTGGTTGGTTGTTGAAATTTGAAGGGAGTTTTATGGGTGAATGTGATCTCACTCTCAGATGTGATTATAAAGACAACATTTTGATATCTCTACTAATTGATTTGCTTTATTTGAATAATCTAACATACGGCTCTTTAGGTATCTATCATAGCTTGATAAATATGATCTGTCTGTCTTAGTGCTTAGAGCACCTATCTTTCATGTTCAAACTCTGCTCTACCTACTTCGGCTTTGGTTTGCTGGATTGTAGTATTAACCCCTCAAATGAACATCGTTAGTCAAATTCGATGATAAGAATCTATACACGGAAATGATTAATACCATAAAAAATTAATCTTTTCAAATTCTTTATCTAATCATGCAACAAGATGCTTAGTTGATATAATTTATAATCTCACGTCTTTGCAATGGACGCTGTAAAGCAGACATTAAACAATCTTTACTTGTTTGAGCTGGTATAATTCTAACGACCGGTGATATATATATATATATATATATATATATATATATATATATATATATAAACAAGACTAATGATGTGGAGATCTGAGAGTTAGTTGTATTGGAAATGCCTAGTGATAAGAGCGATTGAAATGGTAAAAATGATAATGGTCATCATAATTTAGTATAAGATAAAAGCTACAAAATATGTCAAAACAGAACACGATAGAAGAAAAACGAGAATTAAAATCAACAATAGTTCTTTTGGGTATCGTTGTAATTGTACTCGTAAAAATCAAATTGTGTCGCTAGTTTAAGTGATGAATGCACATACAGTGTTTTGCTTTTTTTCTTGTGAAAGTTTTGCCTAAAGCTCTACGGACAGAATTCATGTCATAAAAACCAAGGCTAATAAATTTTGTTTTATATGGAAAGTATTTATTGAAATTAAACGAGATCGATAATAATTTATTTATATAACAGTTATTTATTACTATTCTTTTAGAAGTCAGCTCCTGTTTATAGCTTGTTGAATTCCTTTAGATAACTGTTCAGTTGGGTGGTAAATAAAGATAAATGAATCTTCTTTTTGCGCGTGGTGTTAGGAATATTTTCCCGAGGTCTTAACACAGTGGAAGTAATGTGATTGATGTACGTCTTCTAATAGTCGATCAAACTAGTTGGGCAATATAACGACCTAGTCATTCATTAACTTAGAAAAGACACTGGTTTATACAAGTAGCATGTTGTCTTCTTGATACTACCAATCAACCACAATTTCGACAATCTCAGCACAGGTATGAAAGTTTGGTTGACCTTTGGGAACTTTCATCACTTGTAGAGTAGGGAATATATCTGTCTACCAACTAAAGCGGTCGCATATTGCTCAGTATTTTACTCTGTATTCCTTTATGGCCACAACTTTTTTGACTATATGTTTCTTCGAAGTATTGCCTGTGCTTCGTGAAACGATCAAGTAAGTAAATTCAAGATTAGACGGAGGTTACTGGAGAAAGGTGGGGAATTGGTCGATGGTGTTGTAGGCTCTATGTCAATAATGACTGACTGGTAATTTTCGCGTCATTGTTTCTGGATTATCGGTTTTATTAATGGTTTGTACGCTCCCAATCAGGGAATAGGTCGTTAAACATAAATTGATAGTAATAATTTCTTGTACATTAATTTTTTTTGGAATACTTTTTAAAAAATCATTATGATAGGTTTCTCTCGTCCTCGTTTTTCGGATACTGATCATCCTATAAAATCAACTATAACAACTCGAAATTCCTCACCACCTTTTCTGTCTTCTATTGGTGAGCGCCAAATTGTACTGCATTTGATTTACTACCTCACTCAACTTACACCACGATTAATTCCTCCAAGTATAATTCATGCTGTTGCTGCTCCTTGTTTAGAAGTTCATCGTTATTTGATTGCTAATTCAAATGAATCTAGTAATAAAGGAGATGCTCATGCGGCATCAGGTGTGGGAGTTCCTGCAGTTGTATCACGTCATATACTTCAAAATCATCCTTGTCGTATTGGAGATTTTGGAGAAGCAAAAGTTAAAATAAATGATTTTAATGATCTGGAGCTAGATACAACTATCCGGGGTTGTTTACTAATTCTTGCTGAATTAGGTGAGCGTTTTGATTTGTCTGTTTATACCTTCTAAACTAAAAAAAACATTTATTGCTTATGCTTGTTTTACCATGTTTCGATTAATTTAATTCTTGATTTCATGAAAATTCTTTTATTTTACTAAGATTTTATTTTCATCAATCAGTATTCAGTAAATTTGCACTCTACTGTAAGTCTCAACTCTGAATAAATCAATCTAGAAATTAGTGAGTTATGTCTTCAATTTATTCGCTAATAATGATTCAGCATCAATGAAAAAATAGTAACTTGTTCCATAAATAATTGCCTCTTTCAGTTACTAAGTCCAGATGTTTGTTAGCTTTTTCAACGCATTTGATTTTTACTCGTTAAGTTTTTGTATTATCCCGTTTGTTGATTAATAGAATTGGACTCGGATTAGTTTTCGTTGCCATAATTATACCTCTAAAGGACTGCCCGTATACTTTCATTAGTTGTACCGGGACATATTTGTATTAAATAAAATTTCAAAAAGATATTGTCGTTTTGTCACACGTTTTAGTATGGTTGTATTGTAGTTGATGCTATAGTTTTTTGATAAACAAGAAATGCGTTAAATAATAAGTCTGGTAAATCTGTTATATCATTTTTTACTTATGCAAATTAATATTCACACTAATTTCATCAGTAATCGCATACGTACTGGCATAATAAGAAGTGGTCAGTGATAATGGAAAAAGAGTCGTACTTAGAAAGCTGGTATCCTGTAAAATCACATGTGCCGAAGCAACGTGACTATATTGAGATGAGGTCGTTTTAGTTTCTCTCTCTCTCTCTCTCTCTCTCTCTCTATATATATATATATATATATATATATATATATATAAGTCCTCTGACTCTTTACGAAGTTGGAAAATCTATAGGGAATCTGAAGTGTGGGAGAGCAGCAGGCCCTGACAGGTTTACCCCTGAGATTTTTAAGGATGGCAGTTCAGTTTTAGCAGCGAGATTTACTGAGGTCTTAGGCAGAATCTGGGGACTGGACGTAACCCCATCTGACTGGTCTCAATCACTGATTGTGCCAGTCTATAAGAAGGGACAAAGGTCCTCTTGTGACGATCACAGAGGAATCAGTTTGACTAATATAGTGTTCAAAGTATTAGCTTCAATAATACTTCGACGCCTAACCAAAGCTCGTGAAGAGCAGATTAGAGAAAATCAGTCTGGTTTTCGACCTGGACGTGGTTGTATAGACCAGATATTCACACTACGTCAGGTCCTAGAACATAGACATACATTCAGACGCTCCATAATCGTAGTATTTCTCGACCTTAAGGCGGCATTTGACTCTGTTGATCGTGATGTTCTATGGCAGTGTCTATCACTGAAAGGAGTATCAAATAAGTACATTAACCTTATAAAGGCTCTACTCGAAAACAACTGGTCGAGTGAGAGCTTATGGTGAACTGTCATCAGAATTGATTACCTCAATTGGTGTTCGTCAGGGCTGTCCACTCTCTCCATTCTTGTTTAACTTTCATCGTCACCCAAACTAGTGATAGGGAGTAAAGTAGTCGAGGGTGTCGACCGCTTCACTTATCTCGGAAGTCTCATCAGCCATTGTAGTCTGGTGTGTGACGAAATCTCAGCACGGATACAGAAGGCTCGACTAGCTTTTGCCAACTTGCGTCATTTATGGCGTAGGCGAGATATCCGTCTATCAACCAAAGGACGGGTTTACTGCGCAGCAGTTCGTTCCATCCTACTTTATGGCAGTGAAACACGGCCGGTAAGTGTAGAGGATATTCGTGGGTTACTAGTATTTGATCAAAGGTGTCTTCGAAGCATTGCTCGTATATCCTGGGACCACTGAGTAAGTAACGCAGTTCTTAGGAAACGGGTACTAGGAAAGGGTGGCAAATTAATTGATGAAGTATTATAGCTTTATCAGTTAAGATGACTGGGACACGTGTTATGTATGCTCAACCACTGACTGCTCCGACGTGCGATGCTTTCTGTTGTAGAAGTGGGTCGGAAGAAAGCTAGGTGTGGCTAGACCAAAACATGGCACAAATCTATGAAGTCACTGACAAGTGGACTGAGCCATGTTGGTAGGTGTAGACTACCTGGTTGGGGTCCGCAAGATGATAGCAACCGATGGTTAGAGACCGTGAATGACATGGCTCAAAATCGTTTGCAATGGCGCAGGTGCATCCACTCTTTGTGTTCTCCCAAATTCTAATCTTCTGAATTCTTGGTGTCCATTTTTTGTCTTTCCAAATTTATTTCACTGTATTATACTCCTTGAATAACACCTTCAAACCCTAATCTTTCCGATTACTGCTTATACTCTTAGTACCTCTACTACTATGAGATTTGAATCGACAATTGTATCTCTGTGCTAATGTGGTACGGCAACTCGAACTGATGTATGTACGTACGAAGTTCTACGTTGTTACTGACTGACTGATACTTTAGGAAGTCACTAAAGTAGATTGTACTTTTTGAAGCCAACTTGAGCATGTACACTCAAGATATTCGTCATATTATGTGTACTTTAACAATTAAGTTACTATTCTGGGCTGAATTTCGGGATTTTTTATTTTTTAAACGAACTGATTGTTGATTTCCAGTTTAGATCATGTGGTCACATCGTAACGATACCTCAGGCTTAATTGTTAACACAACTCACCAAACGTAAACTAAGGTCGTAATAAACTACAATTGATTAGCTAACAGGGCTTTTTCTTTAAAAAAATTATACAGTTATGTATTGAATATTATTACAACAAATATTAGCAAGTGTCATCTTAGACAAAGGTGGTTGTAAAACAGTGACTCTGATTTGTCGATCGGTCACCCATCAGTGGAATAAGGACTTGACTATCAGGCCTAATTCTTGACTGTTTACTCAGCGTTGTAGTAGTTAGCAGCATTTTCTAGTCTTTGGTTCATGATAAGATATCACTTTTTAATGACGGGTTTAATTTCGAACCACAATAGTTCCATTGAGTGTTGCTACCATCTAACTGTGTAATCCGAAGTGATTAAGGTGAATCAGTGATCCGATATCAAGTGCTTCAACTATGCAGTTCATCTCTTTAAATAATCTTTTTATTTGTATTGCCTTTAGTTTAAGTGATAGAGTGATGGCTCAGTAGTTAAAATGTTCAACTTCCATCTACCTAATCGTGGACTCGAACCCTAATGCATGTATTTCGGTTTGAACAATCGGGTAATATCACTAGCCCATCATACTTAGAGTGTAGCTTAACTCCAGATGCCCCAATCTGCACCTGACAAATGAATGAATGAGTTAAATATCGTGTGACCTTGATGAATTAATTCTAGTTTCATAAACAACAGGAAAATATCCTTTTTTTCTTGACAATCGTTGTCTTCTCTTTTTCTAGTTATTTTAGCCCTAGAACGTCTAGTTGTACGCACAAATCCTTCAATTGTTAATCATTCGAAAATTAAATTATCTTATTCCAATTATTACCATTACTATTACCACTACTATTATTGTCATCATCATGATGTCGATCATGCCAACAATCATCGACAGTTTTATTATTCTAATAATAATAGCGATAATAACAAGTTGAACGTTTCAATTGATAATGGAATCAAAGAAAAGTTACTGTTATTGTTTCCATTCATTGGACAAATTATAATTCAAGCTTTAATGACTACATTCGTGTTCAATAATAGTACAATGCATACATATCATTCATCACGTATTCACGAAGCTGTTATTCTGTCGTTGATTACAGTTCTTAATCGATCAGAGTGTACACAACTTTTACCTAATAGTCTTATTTCGGTAAGATATATCTTGCATATTGTATTTTTAATTTATATACAATTGAGTTGAATACCAATATAAACTGGTAAGTTATGCAAATCTCACTTGTAAGTGCGGCCCGTGACTAGCACTTTTTAGAGGCAAAGTACTTCTGCAAGGCTGGCAGGAGCTTGAGCCTTCAGTTACTTTCTGTAGTGAGTTTTTGCAAGTAGTCGGAAAGTTTGTGTATTTAGGCAGCTGTGTGTGTGCTGGTGGTGGCGTGGCGAGTGAGATCACGCTACGTATAATGTGAGGTAAAGCAGCTTACACCAATCTGGGTCATCTTTGGGCCCATTGTGATGTTAGTCTGGCTTTAAAAAGTTGACGTTACAACATTTCGGTGAGAGCGATCCTGCTCTATACCTACAAAACACTGACCTCTGAGTTGAAGATATTCGGTGACTTTGTTTCCCATCATCGTTGTCATCGAAAGATAGCTGACGTCTGGAAGTTACGTCTTGTTACCAATACGGAGGTTTAATGATGCATATTTGGGTGCAGTGAAGATAACTCACTTGGTGTCAACATCTCGAAACACCAGCTTCCGTGGCTTGAACATATATTACGAATATCACCCCCAGTGAATTCTAAATTGTTGATTACTTTCCGACTCTGGGACTGGTTGGAAAAGGGTGATAGGTGGTCAGTTCATGGCATGACGCAGTGGTAAGGGGGGAAAACAGTATAGGACTGGGATCTGTCGGTCCTTCACGACTATCTAGTTGGGGTCCTAGAGATTGTGCAACACAGTGGGTTGAGACGTCAACAGGCATGATTCAGAACGGAGGTTGATGGAGATCCTGCTGTAATGTCGTTTAATAGTCTTCAAAATAAATAAATAAAAGGAACTTCTTTATTTGAAAGTATTCTTCCTAGTCATATTATGCTATTCATTCACTTCTTTCTGATTCTATTCCTTACTCCCCACTTCATTTATCTCTTCACAATCAAGTTTCCTTATTTGTGTGTCGCATGTTTATTTCGGTGCTCTATTGTACCAGTATTTATCTGTATTAAATAATTAAATGAATAAATTGGTGATTTATGCTCTAGTAAAAGAATGTCATGAACTTCTGATTCAATTATTCAGTTGATATTAATGCCTATTTAATAATGAAAAAATTTACACTATTTTATTACAAAATAGTATTGACTGTGATGCCTGACTATTTTTATTTGCGCTATTTGTTTATAGATCAGTGCAATTGGGAAGTTTTGACGCACAGACTGTGTACGTGTGCGTTGTACAAAAATTGTTAGATGTAACCTCAGTGTACTGATGACCTTGTGTGAGCCAATCATTTTTGAGATATCCCTTCCCCGATTCTTGTGCTAAATTTGAAGGCGCAGAGAAGTATAGCATTTACCTAATTAAGAACTAAGTAGGACTGGTTTATATCGAGTTCCATAGTGCATGTGACGTGATCTATAAGCTATACTTGATTTAAATGTGTGCTTGTTCAAGGGCATTTATGTGGATAGGAATTATTTTCCCAATCCAACCCTCCTAACCCTAACTCACAACACTCTCCTAACCTCTGATACCTAACTTGATCGTCTTTTCGTTTACTAAAATAAATCAATCAACACAGAAGAGTTCATTAATCATATTAAAACTGTTTATCTACTGAAAGTTTAGTGCTGTTTATGAATATTTGTTTCATAAGCAAACATTATTTCTTGATTTGTTAATGTGTCGCTCAAGGTCGTTCCTATAATTCGGTTTTATCATGTAATCTGATGTTAGTTTCGTAAATCTGATTAACCAAATTGTTTTTACGTAATCGTTATTTTATATTTCTGCTAGCCATGATAAGTGTGGTCTATAGTTAAAGCGACACACTTACTAGAGACTATGGTTATAACAGTTGATAAAATACAAATTACTAACCTTAATTGATAGTTATCAATATTTGTTTTCTTCTGTGTAGTAAGAAAATAATCTTAATGAAGTCCCAACTTATGTACAGGGATTTTAGCCGCATTCTCGAGTATGAGGGCTAGTGATAAATTACTGGTCACCCAAATCAAAGTAGGCTTAAATATTGTTTAAATGAACTATTCAGGTCGTCATATTCAACTTAGGACTCAGTATGATTGTATATCATCCCAAGTCGTCTCACCACATCAACAAAGCAAGTCAGCATTAACAACGTAGATAACAAAAATCTCAGATTAGTAATATTGTGTCAATGATAGTATAAACTGTGCTAGTCATGGAGAACATAATTCAGAAAGATTAAATGAATTTACAGAATAAAAGGTATGTAATAGCACTGAAATTCAAGATCTAGATGATGATACATTTGTCCCACTGTTATCATTTTCTTTTCATGTCACCCAGTTTCTTAAACTATTGATTAAAGTTACCTCAAATAAGAAGTCTACTTCGACCTGTTCCAATGTTATGTGTCGAAATAGGCGTTTGCTAGGGATATGTGGCACATGTCTCAGCCTACTCAGTCGATTGTGATATATAACCGATTTAGAAATTTAACGGTTGAATGTCAACTCACTTTTACCACTAAACCACTGTAGTTCTAACTCATATCACTCAGCCATAGTATTCCGTTACTTTGAAGTGCATAAATAATGAATTTATTAATAATTGTATTATTGTGGTGTATAGTTTTTAGACTATTACCAAACACTTATCATGTGCCTTCTATGCTTTCTAAAAATATTTGTAATGTATTTTCACTATTCTTCTCCCATCAAAAAACTAAATTGCAGAAATTCTTCGTTACTTTCACATCTCCATCATATTTGCTGCCCCGATCGAAATTACCTTTCAATGTGTGAGTTTATTACAATAAATTAAATAATGTATATTCTTTTAAATTATGCCAGGATTCAAGAAAATAAAATCAGCAATAAATTCATTCTATAGCATCAAAGTATGCTTTGGATACTTTTGAGTTAAAATACTATGCGTCTCTATTCCTTATTGAATTTCAAACGTGTTTATTTTTTATAATTATACACAATCGGTTTATCGTAGTTATATGTTTGTATGTTTCCGTTGAGCTGACAGTGAGAATCATGTGTTTTGTTTGAGTGAAAAAAGCGTATTCTAATAGGATATTGGGTAAATAAACTATCCAAACACAGACAGATATAAATCTTAAATTTGAGAAAACGAAAAGGTGACGGTACGATAAAAACTTAATAATCTCCACAACCCCTATACTAGTAAAAAACCTTTGACTTAAAATACATCAATCAAAGACCATTTATATTCCTTCATAGGACACTCAGTTTGTGGAAATAAAGGATATAAATTCATGGACTTTAAACATTTACTAAAGTCGCTGTTTGGAATGGCATACTTTCTGCATTTCTTGGTTCCTATGATAATGGTTATTGACATATTGTAACAAAATTGTTTTTCATTTGATTTGTTAACCGATAATTGTCGAACTAAAAAACAGGTATATCTAAACTCATTCTGTGCGTTTCGATCTCGAAAGCCTATCAATATTTTAACCCCTATTTAGTTTGATTAACTTTCCTTTCCTTTTCTGTAATCTACTGCTTAAAAATTTAAAGCTTTAATCAGCACTTTTTGACAATGTTATATGATGTTATTAGTGTTCTCTCTCTTTTTTCTCTGTTAATATGATTCTCACTGGATTACGATGATAGATATCCTTCATTTCCAATCTGTGCTAGAAATTGTCTAATTCTTCTCCTTCGTTCATGGCCAGGTAAAGTTTCCATGCAATTTTCTGTATTCATTTTTTTAATTGTTCTTTTAATGTGTGATGATTTTAATAACATTATGGACGTATTTATACTATATGTATTTCGGTACCGTCGATTTTGTTTTTTAAGAGTTAATTTTTCTTTCTGTCATCTTTTGTGAATAAAGCATAATTCATGATTTATTAGATACACATTTATCATGAATCCATATTCGATCTCTCATTCTTAATTGTGAATAGACACTATTAAATATGATCGTTAAAGACGATTCAAGAACTGTTCAAAACTCCGATTTTTCAGTTGTTATGTACCATTTTTCGTAGTGTCTATTCAAAACAAACAGCTTTTTGAATTGATACAAATTTGCGTGAATAATCGCTTATCTAAAATTATATATTTTATGAATTAGAGGTTGTTACATAAAAGAGGTTTGTAATTGTTAAAGTGAAATTGAATACCGATCGACACATCGAGTGACAACTGCTCACGAGATCAAATTGTTGACGTCAATTGAACTGACGTACGAAGTCAAGACAGAATAGGTTTCTCCTTTGACAAAATAGCACGCTTATGTATAAAATATTGAATACACGAATAAACATTGTTAAAAGTTATTTAACAACTATTAGAGGATATGCGAACTGCAAGTTCATTAAGCTAAAGCATAGACCGGTTTGAATTTATTCTGTTTTGTTCTTGTCATGGCTATCGGATAATATATCCTGTTTATGAGTTCTGTATACTTTCTGAATATGATTGTCAGATAGATAGGGTTCTAGTGAGTAGTGCTCTCTATACACCATAGTTGTTCTTTTAGACTTGTCAATATTTCTCTTTTAATTAACAGAGTCAAATAGTAGCTTTTAAGTATTATTATTTTTTGACGACTTAATAAAATATAATATTACTCTCAGTCTAATGGTTTCGTTGACACTTTTTTGGGGTTGACATTAAGTGACCGGCCAATATGAGTCCCTACCACCCATTTTAAAAAAATTGTGGGGTGTGAACGAAAAATGTAGGTATCGTTGATTGGTGGACAATATTGGTCGGACAATATTATTCCTTTTTTGGAGTATATTTCCTAAATTGTGTTAACTAACTAAAATCATTTGGAGAATTGTTTTAATTGATAACAGCTGACAGAGCTGTTTCGGTCCTAGTGTATACCACTTCTCATCAGTGTGTGCTTAAAGCCCTACCGAAGATTGAATTTTTGATTTTTATGGTTTGCTTCGAACACCATTTTTCTAGAAACCAATAAAACAAAGCTGTTTGGAAAATTTTGTTGCCCTCTTCATAATATCCGTCAAACAGGCCTACACTCCTCTTAATTCAATGAAGACATAAATTATTATTATTATTGTAGACCACAATGTTTAGTCTTAGAGAGGGAGTGAGAGAGAGGAACGGAGGAATAGAAGAAAAAATATCCTAATTTCCGTTTGATTATACTAAATCATAGATGCAACATACCCAGAACTATTCTTATCCTACTAAGGATGGAGAAGTAACATTATATCTAAAGAAAATACCAAACATTATTCTTCGTGTTCTTGATATACTATTGATCAATTTTAAACTAAACGGTACCAATGTTAATAGCATTCCCGTGGTTATTGCGTTAATGTGTAAAACACTATATTTTACAGTCCATGTAAACTGGATAGTCCTTGTTCTCAATAAAATAAAGGGTTCTAGTCGTTTTATTTTCGCAGTTAGCTGGATAACATTTCGTTTATTCTTAATGTTAAACGCGCGAGTGTCAAATGGCGAATATTACTATTGTCTTGATTAGTATTACATTTGTGAATTGTTTACCTCAAGTAACATTAACTATGTCATTTTATGGCATTGGAGAACGTATTCCTCCGTCTGGTGCTCTTGCCTTTGATCTTAAAGTATTGGGGGGGTGATCCGTCAGTGAATTGGTTTCGTCAACAGCAACCACTTGATCGGTACGTATCATCGAGGTTTATCTATCAATCCTCACTCTATCCACCTATCAACCAAAAGTTTCGTCTCATCAAGTCATAGAGCCCTCTTTTGTAACAATATTACTCAGTTGTTAACTTTCTCTTTACAATTTAATAGTTATACTTAGTTGTCATGGTTCGTTTTTTCAATCACAACTTAGGAGATTTATGAACTTCGTAGTATTGTTCTTGTATTGTTTATTTGTAGTGTGTGCTCGAGTATCTCACATTTGCGAATTGCTTTCAACTATGTCTTTGTTTGATTCGATCTTTTAGTTTTCTTTTCTAGTATTTTCGTTATTTAGTGGTAATTAAAAACGGTTTTTCATAGTTTTTACCAAGTTATAGTATCAGCTCATGAAGTTATTGACTGCTGAATTAAACCGTGTTATTAAGCAAAAGCTACCAGGTCATTCATCCTTTCTTCTCGAACCATATAGGCTTCTTTTACCATCACTGTTGTTATTACTCCTATTACACTGATTTTTCTTGTTAATTTCATTTCGATATGTTGTTATTGTGTTGCAATTTGAACCAATGAATATATTTGTTAGGTTCTACATTGTTTGTGGCTGACTGTTAGCTATTCTAATACAATATATAGTTTTTTGGATGTACAGCATAACCACATAATATATAGCTTAAAGAAAACACATATTTGTTATTTTTCATTCTAAGCCTTTATTTATTTCTATTTTATTATTGATAGGTATTTTCCATTTTATTCATGATGGTCTCCCAACTTTACAAACTTTACTGTATACGTTGGCTGTTGGTAATACAGAAATAAGAGTGAGTTGTCAGAAAATATTAACTTGTTTGATCAGATTTTTTTATTCACTTGATAAAATATACTAAAAACTTATTTTCAGTTACACTATAGCTACCAATTTAACCAATGTAAATACACTAACTTGTATTATATATAAATTTTTGCCAGTTAAATTTCTGGATTAAAATCGTTTGCACCTCATGTTTGTGCTTAAGGTTAGATTTCATATAGACCTGGTAAAGAAATGCTGGGACTGGCTTTATTATCGCTAATGGTAACAAGAGGAGGACCCAGTGATCTTTGTTGATTAGTTTGTGCATTCATATTTACGGTGAGAGTTATTTAACTACCTTGCCACTCAGATATAGGTAGGTGTAGTGAGACTCAGACTTCTGACTTTATAGTGCAATTCAAATCTTCCTATATCATGTAGGTTAGTGATTCTAGCTATTTCCTTAAAACCTTAAGCCTAATGTCATCCTTCACTTCATTCTTGAATTGTATTCTTCCCTTTTGAATTACAGCTCTATATTCAGCTTTTTATCCGAATGGATATCATCATGTTTCCTTCACTAAGTCTCAACTTGCTAATTTCTGTACTCTTTGCACTGATAACTAATTATTTAACATGACTTAGATATGCAGTTGTGGTCGGCGCTGCATTATTTATGATTAACTGACTGATTCAGTGTGTACAGTCTGGAGTGACATGTATGTTTAGACGGATAGTAAATACAGCAATAAGCACACAATAAAACGCCTGTTCAGATTGCTGTAATTCGTACAATGTCACAGGAAAAAGCAATCAACGGACACAGAAAATTAGTATAATTAATAGAATGTTCGAACACAGATACATCGATTATCCGACTGAGTTATTTTTCCACTAAGCTGTAACTTTAAATTAATGATCATGGAGTGAGATCATAAAGTATACTTGTATCTAAGAATAAGGATATTGGTGTTATTTTTGAGATGAATAATGCATCTCAGAAAATGCAACGCAAATAGATAAAGGGTTATTTCTTACATTAAAGTGTTAAACTCATTTTATTTTCGTTTTTCCCTTTATTCCATAGAACCAAATATTAAGCTTATTATATGGTTTATTCCCAACAATACCTATACCTCATTCATCTGTCAAGGAATTAGAACCAACCATACTGGGTCTTATTGAGGCATTGTCTACTGGTTCGTTCTCTTTGTTGCCTGTAATAAATCTATCGAGTTCACCAGGGAAAAGAAGTGATTATTTACGCAATGAAATGTCATGTTCATATTTGGACAGTTCTTCACGACGTCTATTCTCAATATTACCAGTAAGGTGTATTTCATCATCGTCATCTAGTGCTTGGAATATTGAAGGTGATTTCATTCCTGCAGAAGGTTGTCGTCTGTTAACTAAATACGATTCTATTGGAATTGATTTAATGAATAATTATTATGCCATATTACTTGCTACATTGATTCAAGCTGGATTATACGAGGTGTGTGTTTGATCTCGTTTTCTGTATTTATGTATGTACGTGTATAAATATGCAGTGGTATTATTAACTTAATTACTTGTGTTAACTATCTCGCTTAATATTCCCATTTAACTTTTGCCTAGATTGTATAATTTTTTCTGTCTTTTTATTTGGTTATTATAACAGTGTGAAATGCAAATCAATCCGAATCCTCTCAGTTTATCTATAAATATGTGATCATTTTATGTATGTAAAGTTAACCTGAATCATTATATATATCGATTAACACTTACTAATAATAGTAATAACTTATTTACCAAATTTACTAAAAGTAGGCTCGGATTTACTAAGACGCAATCAATTTAGTACCTAGAAACTAGTGTCTCTTGTCTGTGTGTAGACATACGTGTATACTTTTTTTATTCATTGAAGTTATTTATATCAATAATGCAAGGTACTTAGATGAGACTAAACTAGTACACTCGTATTTACTTTTCAGTAAACATATTTTTGACTCAAAGCTTGTTTGGATATTTATGGAAATATGTTGGACTAGTTGCAAGGTTATTGCGACGAGAATCATTATTTATAGCTTTAATTTTTGGTTAAATGTTTGGAGTCAGCTGATAGATGGTCATGAAAAGTGTAAGCAACTTCAAGGTTAAGGTCAGTGAGCTGCCCAGAGTAGACGGCAATCAGGATAAATGTCCAAACAACGACAACACAATTATGGACAACAGATAATAAAAATTTGTGTCAACATGACAAGCTGTTAATTAAATATGTGGGGCATTATTGATAGTTACAGGCTACCTGGTTGGGACCCACACTATTACCACGATTAGTGGTTGACGACATTGATTGACATGGCTCATAATCGGTCTTAATGCATTCGTTCCCAATCTTCCTCTAGATCTTCAGTTCCAGTATTCCTGCATTCTATCTTTCCGAACTCATCCTCATCATTGTTGCTGCTAGATTATTATGTAACTCCTTTAGTATTTGTCTTGTTAGATTAATCTCTTCGTGCTGTTGTTGAAATATAATAATTCCAATTGCTCTTGTTAATTTCCGTTGTATTATGAATAGATTAGTGTTGTGTCTTTAATGTGGGACTTGATGCTTGTCTTATATGTTCGACTCATAGTACATATTTTCAGTAGCCTAAGTTATAATCTATCCCGGTTTACAGTTCCAGTATGTATAGCAATGAATATTAAATTTGGAGCTTCACTTCATATGCCAATACTGGGATGCCATTATCAATGCAAATGCTAACGAAATCGTGTCATCTGTTCAGGTAAATCCATATGCCATTGAAAACTGATCGAATTTGTTTCGAATTATTGGCTACGTTAATGTAAAATCCTTAGTAGTTAGCAATGAACAACGGGACTATAATTTATAGACGAATCAATCACATTTAAGATAGTAGGTTTGGATATTGGCGCGGGATTCATCCGTTCATTTGGCTAAATACCATTTTGGCATGGTAGCTGATGTTAGTTCGTGATCAAAACACTAAATCTAATTCCTAATCCTAACGTTCAACTGTAAATCCTAATTCTTATTCCTCACACTAATATATAATCCTCATTTAACCCTGGTCAGTAGGTGGACATTTTAAGATCATTTTAACGTTGCTCAAAGATCTTCCGTAAGTTATAGTCTTACCCAATAAACTTCTATTCAGTCATTCAACGTCGATTTTCCTAAATTATTAACGAATAGTTTTACATAGTTACATTATTGATCTCACTCACGAAAATTGCGGTTTATTTAACTTCTATGTTAGTTCTTGAGAGCATACAATTACTTTTGTTTAATAGTTGATAATCTACTTAATTTCTTTAAACTTATCAGTTCACATAATACAGTGTGAGGACAATGTTGCGTACCAATCTATGTGGAAATATTAATGATTTTATTTCCTTTTTTTTCAGGCTCTGATTCGTGCAGTTTCCGATTCAAATCAAGTAACATCTACTCGTGCTGGTTATCTTCTTGGTTTGTTGGCTTACAAAGTAAGTTTATATGAATGTCGTCGATCTGATCCCATTTTGTACATTTTACCAAAAATGTAGTAGTAGTGGAACTTATTTACCAAATTAAAATTTACTCAAACAACATTTTGGTTGAGATGTTTAAAAATACTACGACTCATTGACGTAAATTGAGGTTGTTTGTGACAGGTTTCGAACTTTAAACTTAATTGTTAAAATTTGAATGCTTTAACTTACTGTTAACCTAATGATTGATAGAAATCTATTTCTAAAAAAATTGTTTGAGGGAAAATTACGATATAAATGAAAATGATGTATTATCATTATGCATTACCATTTAAACAATCATTTCTTTAAAACCCATTAAGGTTACATAAATTCAAGTTTCAATTTTATTCATTCACTACCTAGTACCTGATCTAAGTACCCGTCTCTATCATACTGTGTATGCTTAAGAGAGTTAGTAATAGTTTACAAAAGCACCAAGCTTCTTTCACAACCGAATAAAGTGAAGTTGTATTTGGATTGATCAACTGCTTTTTAACCATTAGGGCATCACTGAGAGCGCATTTATTAAAACAATATTGTTTTAATATTTTTGTACAGTATTTCAATAAAGATCGTCTAAGCTTTCTATTCAGCTCTTTTTTCAATGTTCTGTGTTTTAGTAGCATAATATGAGTATGATAAATTGATTCCATTCAACTATTCTGTAAATTGAGGGATATTTATTTGTACAACTGAAACTTTTTGTCATACTGGTTATTGATTCATTCATCTGCAAAGAGAGAAAGCCCACCGCAATACAAAAAGAACACATTGGTTTACCAATGTCTAAAGGTGATTTGCTAAAAAGTGTTTACTGGTAATAGAATTTTAATTTGTATCCTGTATTAGGTACACTATAGATTAGGTATAAAGTACACATATATTATCTATCTGTCTATATATATATATATATATATATATATATATATATATATATATATATATATATATATATAATTTTTGTTTTCACTATGCAGGTTGAAAGTCTATTACCTCAAGAACATCCGGCGTGTAGGCGTTTACATCATGCTGGTTTATTGCATCCAGATACTCCAGGTAGTCAGTTAGCTGTCTTGTGGTTGGAACGAATACATCGTGCTATGCAATTGCATGAAACTCAACTAATTGACACATCTAACCTTATTCACGTGCCATTGCATTCTCCCTTTCTGGAATGTTTAGCCAAACAATCTGCAAATAATATCTCTCCAACTTATTATCCTTTGAATCCATTGCTACAAGATCAAATGGAAGTATGTTTAAAAAAGTTTTTTCTTAGATTCTACTAACATTAAAAGTGAAACTTTGCGATAAACTAGTGAGACGATTTACGATACTCTAAATGTAAGTATAAATCTACCTTTTGTATACCTGATTAGATGGAAATTCGATATAGATTAATCTCCAAGATTTTTACTACCTAAAATAATTGTAAGTAATTAAGACATATTCGAGAATGGACGATGGAATGTTAAAAGCAGTTACCAGTGACATATACTTTTGAAGTCCTCTTCCCCGTTTATCACTTTAAACATTATTGACCTTCGACTATATATATAGCTAGCTATATAATGAGAAAATAAAAAGAATGCAGTGAAAGGTTTAGTGCTAATGCCCGAATGTGTTTATATACGTATAGGTAGCCGAACCAACCCAGATATGGAATTATTGTGATCATCTTCACAAGGTGAATATTTCAATTACTTAAAACGACCTGTCTATACTTGTTATGAGATCTTGGGAAGTTTCGTGATCTGTATTCCTTTGTCAAAATATCAGGATTTCATACGTAAAACATGATCAAGTAGTCTAAGCCGGTGTTTCTGTGTAGTTTGACTTCATTTATCCAAAAATAATCTCCGTCTCTGACACAAGTAATTCTTCCAGCATAGTCTGAGTATATATGGTATATGTTTAGTGTTTTTCAAATGCTAAATGATATTTATGTAAAGATCTTGTCTGAAATGAGTGTCTCCCAAGTTTTCTCTATCAATGATAAGTAAGACTACTATACCACCGGCTGTTAGCGACCAAGTTAAATTACGATAGCCGAAGTTAACCATTAGGAAAAATTTAAAATGCCATTACTTGTTGCTGAACGTCACGATTTCGACTATATTTCGTATTTTGAAAGGACTGAATGATGATTTTCATGTGGAATGAAGAGTTCTGATCAGGTTGTTAGGATTAGGAGTTAGTGTTGGGCTGGGTTACAATACTATGATTTCGAATAGTTCGCCCCAATAAGTTCATTAGTCGCGTTAAATCTGAATCCTTTATAATTTTATCACTTTTTGTGTATCAAAACTCTTCTACATCGGTTACATCATGATTGTCTAATTTTTGATCAGTTAATCTCAAGGTCACTTGTATAACCACTGAACGTCTTAATATAGTATAGTTTTACTCAATGATATACTGGACTGCAGCAAAATAAACCATGTATATATATATATATATATATATATATATATATATATATATATATATATATATATATATATATACGATTTATGAGGCGTTTGTTTTTCTGCTTAAAACTAACAGACCAGATACTGACATTTATTTATGCCTAATTGTTTTTCCTACAACTTAGTTGATGTTAATCCATTTGTATTGGTCATTCTAATCTTCCCACTGACTTTTAGGATTGCAATTAATTAGTCTCTTTTGACTCATGTACATCCTCTGCAGATTGCGTCGATACTATTAAACCACAAACACTTTTTAAGCAGAGATAGATGATGTTTGACAGTAGAACCAAAGACGCGCGTTTCATCCTCTTTAGGATTCGTGAGCTGGATGTACCTGGTTCCTAGAGTTGATGTTCACCTCGAAATTCGTACTTAGTACCTTTCACTTCAAGTAAAAACATACAAGACTCATATATACAGAAAAAGGCTTGCTAATTCCAATCCTAAACGCCAGTTGGAAGATTCGGACAACCCAAACAAATGAATTAAAATTCACCCTATTGCATAAGCTAGTTTCTACTTAGATTTCGGATAACGCGTTTAGGTTTGAACCAAAAAAATACCTGATCCCGATCTCGAAGTGAACACCAAGTTCGAAATGCAAACACATCCCAAACAGAACCAAATGAGCGTCCTAGACTCCACTGCTAACCACATTCCAGGTCTGCTTAGAAAGTAGTTGATGTTATTTTTTCCCAAAAATCAAATGTTAATGTTTATTTTTAAAGTAATTCGTCCCTTATATTCCTATCGCAATAATTTATATGTATGTGGTGAAATTAAGTAAATTTTATTATAACAAAAGTGAAATATACATCTTATCGTAATTCTTCCATTTTTAACTTAGTTTTACACGTTTACCTTTTCCACTGTCTCTCATCCTTTAAACACGATACTTCACTCGGCTTGTTCCAAATCGGAACAAGAATCAAGTAGGAACAAAGTATATTCCAGTAAACCTAAACGCAAAATATGCAGTAATAAAAGCACTACGGTTTATATTGAGTTTACATGATAATCTTACAGTATCTTCCTAATTCGTTTGCTTGCTCTGATTAGTTGGAAATTAGATGTCAGCTTTCTCAGATTTGAGCATGCAACTATTCAACCTGATCTAGAGCTAGATGACTTAGATGCAGATACTATTTATTGTTCTTAACGAAATTTAATCCATCAACATTAATAAAGTTTTGCCCATGTATAACATTAATTGTTGTTAGGTTATTCTAAATAACTCTGTTCTCAATTATCCTGTTTCCCAATGATTGATTGGATAATGTCCCACAAACGAGTAAGTAGATCAATGAAAATATCAGTTTTTCCATTCATCTTCTCACATAAATCTGTTTAAGTTCAGGTGAATTTGAACTGTGAATGAGTTGAAACTAGTACCATCAATGTCATGTGCTAATATTTACGCGAACAATAAATATATATATCTTACCATCAATGCAAATAAAAAAAATAACATGATTTCAAAGTCATTATATTACAAACGCTATTTATGTTCTCATAAGAGTATTCATGTATGTTTCATCGTTCTTATTCACTTTTGTTTTAAGCTTACGGATACAACTCTAGATCAGTTGATCGTATTATCAAATGTGTTATCATTCAAGTCAAAATCTCAACATGGCCGTTTTAGTCAATGTCAGGTGACTACATATGATACTAAATCACCGGAGTTATGGAATTGGAACATTTTAACCTCATTAGGCCGTCATTTAGCTGTAACTCGATGCACATTTTCTTGGGAATCAAAATCACATATGAAGTACGTATAGACTACTACTAATTATTTAGTTTTTTCTTGTTTTATTCCTGAACCAATCTCTATGTTGACGAGAAACATCTAGTTATAAGTTACATAAATATTAATGAGTTAGAGAATTATAGTTTCTTGTATAAAACGTGTGAAAATGCTCGGACTTAGTTTTAAACGTTAACCCTTTTTAAGCTATGAAAAATGATACAGTAGACTAGAAATAGACGTGTACTGTTAAGTAGAAGAGCCCTATGGACTAGAGTATTCTGTCTAAGTGTGTCATACCTTGTATCAGTCCATGGATGGCAAAAAGGTTTAAATACGTTAAAACGAACAGGGAAATGAGCAAATATAGTGTTTTGGTTTGTTGGCCGGTAACGCAGCTACTATGTTATACCTTGCTCTACAAAAATTCGCTATACTGAATCTACATTGTTGTCTCATGATCATAATATGAAGTTTTATCGGGTGGATAATTTGTTCATCGTGCTTTTCATATTTCTGCTAAATGATGTCTGGGATTCTGGTGGCTTCCATTTGTAAGCCTTGAAATTATGAAACAATCCACTACTTGAATTCATCGCGTTACAGATGATTATTAAAATGTTTGCTTTTATGAAATAGCACTTTATTAGGAACAGTCGATTATATTCGGATTTTCTAAGCAGTGTCGATAAAAATCTGTGATCCATCTAATTGCTTTTTTGTACTGCCTTTAAAAATTCGTGCTGGGTCTTGGGTATCTTTCTTCTTTTGTGAGATTATGAATGTTGAGATATTCAGGAAAATATCCCAAAAATTATTCTATTAAGTCTAATGCTATTCTTGGACTTGAGATGGTGTCATTTTCCTATTGGACAACATTTGTTTCACGTGTCAAATGTTATTTTCTATTTTATGGTACGATGTGGTCTGCTTGATTGGTATATAAACTCAGTATGCTTGAAATATAATGATTCATATCTCAGAAGCTGAGACTTGCGTTCTGGACTCAACTGGCTGGGCTAGACAGGGAGGCGGGACCAATCAAAACTCTAGGCCGTTCTTACGTGTTTACGCGTCTTTGGTCCGATTAATAAAACGCTGCGCTCTAATCTGCTGCTGTCAGTCATAACAATGAAGTGTATCGTATTGTGGCTCAGTGGACTAGACTTTTGATTTTTGTTGCTTTAATCACTAGTTTTGAGTGTGCTTCATTTAGTTTGGTTTGGAAAGCTGATTACTGTTTCAGGGTCAACATATTTACCAAGTTCGCATTCGTCTACTTGTCTTCAAGTCACATTTTTTGCATGAAGACTAGTGATACTACTCGTGATGCTTTTATTGAACGATTACATCCTTAACCATTAAATCACCATGTTGAATTACAGCTTAGTATACAGGATATATACTTGGTCACTGAGTCGTACTAACGATTAGAAAACAATAGGCTATTTGAAGGTTACACATATTTATATATATTTTTAAATTTAATCTAGATTTCTAAAAACAGTCATGGAGTTTTTGATACCAGATCAAACATGCAGAACAGGTATATCAGATTGCAAAACTGAAAAATGCTCTATTCCGATTTCTCCTCCAGTAGTATATTCTTCTATTCCAAGTAAATCTATGCAGTCATCGGATGGGCTATTACCAGTTGATGGACTTCTGAATGCAATCAGTGATAATCGTAATTTTGTGCTACAAAATGTAAATACTTTGAACGCACACGATAATACTGATCATTTATTAGTATATTCTCGAGAGAAAAACATGTCTGATATTAATGCTACAAGTAATATCATGAATAATAATTCTAATACAAGTCGATCGAATTATTTAATCAATCCGAATGCCAATTTCAATTTAGCTTGGCTTTCATATAATTGGCCTCATGCGTCAGCTGCTGGAATTTTAGCTGCTGGATTAATAACACATTTGGCATACTATCCTCCAGTACGTTTACACTGTTCTGTTTAACGTTTCCTACAAATATGTTTTCTTTTGTTTTGGAGATAGTGGATAAATAGATGCTCTGGTTATGTTACAAATTTATTAATTTAATTATTTAATACAGATAAATACTGGTACAATAGAGCACCGAAATAAACATGCGACACAAATAAGGAAACTTGATTGTGAAGAGATAAATGAAGTGGGGAGTAAGGAATAGAATCAGAAAGAAGTGAATGAATAGCATAATATGACTAGGAAGAATACTTTCAAATAAAGGAGTTCCTTTTATTTATTTATTTTGAAGACTATTAAACGATATTACAGCAGGATCTCCATCAACCTCCGTTCTGAATCATGCCTGTTGACGTCTCAACCCACTGTGTTGCACAATCTCTAGGACCCCAACTAGATAGTCGTGAAGGACCGACAGATCCCAGTCCTATACTGTTTTCCCCCCTTACCACTGCGTCATGCCATGAACTGACCACCTATCACCCTTTTCCAACCAGTCCCAGAGTCGGAAAGTAATCAACAATTTAGAATTCACTGGGGGTGATATTCGTAATATATGTTCAAGCCACGGAAGCTGGTGTTTCGAGATGTTGACACCAAGTGAGTTATCTTCACTGCACCCAAATATGCATCATTAAACCTCCGTATTGGTAACAAGACGTAACTTCCAGACGTCAGCTATCTTTCGATGACAACGATGATGGGAAACAAAGTCACCGAATATCTTCAACTCAGAGGTCAGTGTTTTGTAGGTATAGAGCAGGATCGCTCTCACCGAAATGTTGTAACGTCAACTTTTTAAAGCCAGACTAACATCACAATGGGCCCAAAGATGACCCAGATTGGTGTAAGCTGCTTTACCTCACATTATACGTAGCGTGATCTCACTCGCCACGCCACCACCAGCACACACACAGCTGCCTAAATACACAAACTTTCCGACTACTTGCAAAAACTCACTACAGAAAGTAACTGAAGGCTCAAGCTCCTGCCAGCCTTGCAGAAGTACTGTCACTCAGTATACTCGTCCTTTAGTTGATAAATGAATATCTCCCCTTCGCCATAGACGACGTAAGGTGGAAAAAGCCAATCGAGCTTTTTGAATCCGTGCAGAGATTTTGTCAGACACCAACCCATTATGGCTGATCAGATTTCCAAGATAAGTGAAATTATCAATGCGTTCTTGTACTTCGCTTCTCATTCTTAGTTCAGTTGTTGACACAGACCAGTCCTGAAAGCAACAACTTGCATTTGAGGGGGAGTAGCGCATCCCAACACATTCTGGCATCGTTGCTGTGTGCTACCTTGAGACTTTGCATTTGATCAGCGCCTTCACTAAACAGGACTATATCATCTGAGCTCCTGAGAGGAGATCAAATCCCGAAAATTCAGACAAAGAGGACGTTATTTCCAGCAGTAGGTCTATGATGAAGTTGAACAAAAATAGTGATAGTGTACAGCCTTGCCGGACACCGCTTGAGGTTACAAAAGCAGATGACAGTTCGCCATAAGCTGTGACGCGACTAGTAGAGTTCGAGTAAAGGGCCATCACAAGGTTTATGTACCTCTGAGGTACGCCTTTCAGTGACAGACACTGCCACAGAATCTTGTGGTCTAGAGTCAAATGCTGTTTTTAAGTCAAGAAAGACGCCGATAACTTATAGATTGAACTACGTATAGTCTCTGTATTTTGTAGTATTTACAATTTCCTCTTAATGTTTTTTCACAAAAAACCCGATGGAAAAATAACAATTTCCTTACAATCGACACTATTATTATTATTATTATCATATTATTATTATTATTATTATTATTATTATTATTATTATTATTATTATTCATTTTTCAATTTCTTTTATTCTGATTTACTATTTAGGCTAGTGAACCGTTTCAATACTTGGATCGTTTTTTAACTGTACTCCATCTATGTTTAAAATATGTACTCAACAAACAGTCTAATGAATCATTAATCAGTCATAATGATAATAATAACGGTAATAATAAATCAATAAGTCAGAAACTTTCGCAAGACAGTAATAATACTCCTAACAATAGTAATAACACTAATATGATATTAACATTCCATCCAAATTATTTGGCTAAAAGTTGTGGTGGTCTGATTCTATTTGCCGCATCACGATTAACCAATTCTGAAGTCGGTGAATTACGTTTGGAAAAAAGCGATCTTTATTTAGATTTCCAGTGTATTTTAATGTTTCCTAGTCAATTGAAAAAAAATTCCAATACATATACTGAAACTCACTATAATGATACGGATGATAAGCGTAATCAACAATCCATTTTTCTAAATCATGCGAAAATTATATTATCTAGTCTAGATTATACACATTCTACTAAATTGAGTCGTTTGCTCTTGACAACTGCTGTAAATAGTGGTATAAAGGTTAGTCATAATTTGTCGTTTTATTTTCTTTGTTCTTCCAATGAAAAAAATACTATGCATATTTCAAAATATAGAAAAATATTCTCTCACAATAATAGAAAGCAGCTGAAATTGATAAAAACCGACCTTTATAGGTCATTAGTCGATGAGGTAGAACTTTTTCTACTCCAGATTTTGATCCTTGCTACTGCTTGATCGAAATAGTCTTATCGGATAGTTTAAGCTGAGCTGAATAGTGGTTTATAGTGGGATTCAGGATGCATGGTTCATTCAATTTAAGACTCGCAAGTTGCGCGTACATTGACCTGCGTTGATATTCTGTGTTTATATGTTGTTTGAACAATATGATTAAATGTTTAAGCTGAAAGTCTCGATTGATTGAAGTGCAAGCGAACCACAACTTCGATTCTCTGCAATCACTTACGACGTTTGATCATGTTCATATTATAATTATTGTTGTTTCGTTTGAAAAAAAAAGAGCTTATTGTGTTAAACAGGTCTTTTTTTATATTAGTTCAGTTTGCGGGTTTACTTCAGTTGTTCAGTCTGGTGAAGCGCAGTTACCCAGCAACATTTTATTTCTGCCTATCATTTGTTGAAAGGCGTTCTTTGGTTTCACTTTAACAAAAAAATTCCGTTGATTAAATCATAAATCCTATTTTACTACAGCAGTATATTTCTCATGTTATTAGTTATTTGCAAAAAAAAAGAATATGAAATTCATGTTGATGATTTGCGTATAGATGACATTGTGACGTAGACAAAACACCATAGTTTTAAGTTTACACTCATTCATTCATCCAATGTTATAGATAATTTCTAATTACGACTTGCATTTCAAAATCCAGAACATTATACTTTTTTCAAATAAATGAATAATATAAGCATTTATTCATGTTTTTTATCGTTTCTTCACTTTCAGCCTTTACGAATTTATACAATTCGTTTGATTCGTCTTTTATTTCGTCTGAAACTGCCGTTTCTAGCAAGTTGGTGTATAGATTTAGTTGTAAAACTATGCATGGATCCATCAAACAAAATTCGTCGTTTAGCCTTATGCCTATTAGAAGTATGTGTACTATGATTATCTGTATAATATTTCTTGGCTGTTTATCCTCAGCTTCCTCAATGTTCAATACATATGTCGTTACCAGCTTTTCTCAGACATTTTCCCGTTTATTTAGAGGGTGAGTGTTGCATATTAGAGTGTAATTTGCATTTAATCTTTCTTTTCAAGCCCTAACTTTATATTTATGTTTTTCATTCGGCTTGCTGAGCTGCACTACACTAACATATAAAAGACGGAGATAAATTCAAACGCTTGAAATAAAAATTTCACTGAAATATGCAACACACCCGCTAAATGAATGGGAAATTGACTAAAAGTGCTGGATACAACTCATTTATTGAGCATTTAGGACGTTGTTGATATTTTAATTGTTTTTATAAATGTAAAGGATTGGAAAACAAAAAATTAAGAGCTTAGTGGTTATTCCTTAAAAATTTATTTAGTTTGTATTTATTTTAAAGAGAATTTTAAAAATCAGTTTATTGTTTCTATCGAGTTTTCATGTAACTTTAATTGTAGACTTACAGAGTTCAAAAAATAACTGTCAGTTTACTGTGCTTGTATTGTCATGCAGTTCTGTTTCAAAAATATATTGACTTTATGCGTTGTATTTTTGTTTGCATATTATCATGAATCAAAATATTGAAGGAGTTTTGTTTATTCTTTCTGGCTTTATAGAAGAACAAGTAAAGCAATAAATACATAGAGTGGCGGCCCAACCTAAATAATCTTTAATATTATGGGTCACCTCGGCTTTTATCTATATGTCTTTGTGTAAAGTTGGTTATATCAACCTCACAAGTTGAGCTGTTTGTCCATGCATCTACAAGTATTATACTTGCCTGGCTTACAAAAAAGAGTCCAAATCAAAACAACTTGATCCTCAAATACTTCAATAGCAGTCTACAACATTAGATGAAACATTTTAATGGGATTATGTATCATTTCAGTGTTCAGAACCTTAGCTTCATCAACACTAACCTAAAGTATATGTCTAGAAACAACATGTTCAATCCCTAAGGTTTTAACAACCCTAACACCCCGTGTAACTTGATTTATAGTCAGAACAGTTGTTCTTTACTTAAAGGTATGGTACTTAGTCTTCAACTACCAGCTTTTTTGTAGATTTCAGTATCATTTTAAGTTTATTTACTGACCTGGGGAACTAAGCAGTACCGCTAGCCACCATTCCGAATCCGTCAAGTAAGTGGACAAGGTGTACGTATTACTAACTACTAACCTTCATTTATATTTCCATCTATCTCAAACCAGTTTAACTGCCAAATGTAGATTGTTTTGTGAATTCTCTCTTGTATATGTACATTTCATTAAATTTGATTCACTGTGTTCATGTAAGTGTTTAATAACTTTTATTACGTTATCTGTGTAATTTAATACCCCTTTCCTTTAGAAGAATAGAAGTTTAATAACGTTCAAAAAAGTCAGTAACCCGTAGTGATCTGCTGTAGTCTGAAATCATGCTCTTCACTACAAAACCAAGACGTGCTTCCGGTACGTGAAGTGATTGCCTGATCCATGTAACTACGTGAGACTACTTCGTTTGGGTCTGCGCGATTTTCGTATTGATTGGAAGCTTCATGTGAAACTGCTCAGAATCGGTTGCAATGACGCAGATGCTTTCACTCTATATGTTTTCTTAGATCTTCAGACTTGAAATTATCTTATGTTCTGCAAATTCATTGTTCTAAAACCATAATAATATTTTATATTATCACTAATATCGTTACTACTTCTACTCTGCTATCTCTCTTGATAATTTCATTTTCTTGTACTGATATAGTGTAAGAGCTTGGACTGATACAGATATGTGACAGGTTGTTTATGGCTTACTGGAATGATATTCGTTTATAATTTCTCCTTTAATTTTTTTCTGTTTCTTATCAGGAATTATGTTGGGATCCTGTAAATGTTCAGGCTTTATCGCAAAATATTCTACATAACCAAACCAATGATGACAATAATAATGTTTGTCAAAAAAACTTTTTAACACCATTTGCTATTTATTTATTGCATGGTAATACCGGTCCAATAGGACATAGAATATTTGGTAGAATTCTTTCTATCACGACTATATTCGATAAACTGTGCATGAATCATAATACTTGGAGACAACCAAATTCATCATTTCTTCATTGTGATGACGGTCGTTGTTGTACACCGCAAACAAATAAGAATATGAATTGTTCAAACTCATGTCTGTCTTGTGATGAACTGAATAGTAGTAATAATGATAATAACAATAAATCCGTGTTAAGTGATCCAGTGAACTGGATGCTAGATGTTGCACGAAAGGTAAGGTTTGAATGAGCAACATTTAAGTTTCTTGTTTATAACTCTTTATAAAATTATATCCTTCGGGTCAACTATGGTCCCGTGGGTGTGTTATGCCATGGATTCTTATTACATACAAACTCAATAACTCACCGTTTGATCATATATTGGATGCTAGTTGTATTAATATTATATTTCATATTTTTCATTGTATAATTTCATTTATATATCCTCTTCTGTTTTACTTTCCCACTTTCCAATGACCTTCTTTGTGAGGCGATCTGCGTTACCGCAACTTAAAAAGATACATAGTTTTATTAGGACTGAAACTATGTATTACTTAAGATGTTCATTTGTATTCCGTCTCGATGGTCTGGTATGTTGTTGAAAGACCATGTTATTGTAGAAAAAACACTACTTTGGATTTAAATCATTCGAACTCATGATTTTTACTTGGATTGACCAAAAATACACATTAACTGCTGATAAGAGTATGTTTTCTGTGTTTTATGATTTCTCATAGATTGTTTGAGTGATAATAATTACATCCGTACGCAGTGAACTTTTAAACTGACAAGCGGTATGTATATATTTCGTTGTATCGTGAAGTAATCAGTAGAGGACAACTATTTTGGTATAATAGATTACGCTGTCTTACTGATTCTTTATAAACTGTAGTCTTCAACATTGGAACAAATATCAACTTCTGTGGAACATAGATTTGTTGTGAGGTTTTTTATACTTTTTGATAGGGTAGTTTCTTCCTACCAGGATCTTGATAATCGTCTTGACATGTGTATGCTACTTATGTTGACAGATATAAGTAGTATGTAGCACCATTCGGAAGTGACGAGCCGGTGAGAGGAAAATTGAGAAGACTGAAATGAAGAAAAGAGAGGAGAAAACTAAAAGCAATCAAGATGACAACAGGAATGAAGGAACAATGAAGGTTGCACTAAACAATTCAAAGAAGATATGCGATTGATGTTCGTAATGTATGATTTTCACGTTTTACTAAACCACTGTGTGATTTTGCATTAAACAATAAGCCGATTATCCCCATCAAGTATTTGTTGACTACAGGGACTATGAGAAAAGGTCTTAAGTCTCTTGATTTTGTAGTGTGGTGAAGAGTTATCGCTATTATCCTATCCCCGTTAACACTGTTATGAGTTAGGATCTAATAAGTGAATGAAATTTGTAATTGTTAAAATAAAAGGATAATGTCTGGTTGATGAATGAAATTCAGTGATACGATGTGGTAGAGTGGCTACTGTAAATGGGACCGAATTTTAGACGTTTACACCAAATGCGCTGATATCAAACTACATGATGACTACTTAGTAGAATGTTCTATATTATAAAAGTATACTAGTAACTATCATTATGAATTGTTTTAATAATGACAGTAGTCTTAATAATTCAAATTGTACCTGTCTGTACATTTCTGACTTGATTTTAAGTTGTTTCTTTTCTGTTAATTTAGCTTAAATTTGTTTTTCAATGATTAGCAATCTGTTTTCAAATCATTCATTTTTTATTTTCTGTTTAAATCAGACATTTTGTTCTCAATAAATCAGGTCAAGAGGTTTTCTAGCCATCAGTGCTTCTGGTTCATAGCTTTATACACTAAACTGCACTAGGCCATTGTGTTACATACAATCTATGTGGTGTCATTTCGCACTTAATATATTTCACTAATATCTTTGCTGGTTTTTTAACGCATTAACATTGACTACCTTTTCACTTAATGTTTAATGAAGCTGATATTTCGTAGTTCAGAGTGTCTTCTGTATTTCCAAGTGTTTAAAATATTATTACACACGTGAAGATTATAGCAAATTAAGTAGTCTATTGTTAGTCATTGTTTGATAATACCTAGATTGTACATTTACTTTAGGCTTTGAATGTTTCGATTAGTACGCTTGCTGTTTTTAAATGTTCCCTAATTTCGTGACTAAGCTTGTGTTTGTGTTATTTCGATATAATAGATTCTTGTATTGTTTTGCAAAAAAATTTAAAGTGAGTAGATTGGTAGATTTTTTAGAGTTACTTCTACCTGTTTGTTAACACATATCTCATTTTTACTTGAATATTGAGCATACTTAATACTACCTGTTTATTATTATTCGTGGAAGTGATGCGAAGCAATTTGGACAATTATATTATGTAGTAGTAACGTTATAAATTAGATGTAATTAAGATTGAAAAACTTTAGAAATCATACGCGTAATTAAGTTGGAGGCCAGGATAATAGACTATAAATACGTTTTCTTTACACATAGATTGGTTTCGTCAATATGCATTCTTATGACTTCTGTTATATATGGTAGAGAAATTCTAAAAGCATAAGACAAGTTCAACGGATAACTCTGAAAGCTAATTTTGCGTCTATTCTATGGGGCAGGTTATAATTCGGATGTGCTAGAATAGAGTTTCTTATTATTTTCTTTTATTATTCCCTAAACTTGAATTTATGTAATAGCTATTTCCTATTTATAGATAATGTATTAATGTTTTAAATATATGTTTTATCCTTGTTTTTCTTTGTCGAAATCTATTAAAGCACTACAATTTAGCTTATGCAAAAGAAATGGACAATCGGTTTACTTCATTGTTTGTTACATATGGGACGAAATTACTTTCGGGTACATCTTATAAGTCAAGAAGTTTCACATCTTTTGATTCAGCAACAACGAACTTACAAATACTGTCACCTTTACATTTTAATACCAATACTGACGATGAAAATAATGATGATGAAGAAAACAGTGAAAGAGTTGATCGACCTAGCAATTCAGAATTTAATTTTGAAGACAATTATTTTATTGAAGAAACTGACTCAGTATCCGGAACGTATGTATCTCCTCCGTTGGTAAATGATCAGTCTATTGGTCAAGTTGTTGATGGACATGATAGTTTTCATTGTTTACCGCTTCCAAAACATCTTTATGCATGTATAGCTGAACATCGTAATGGAATCGACTTGTTAGATACAAGAAAGGATTTAGAGGTAAATTATGTGCATTTTATGTACTAATCTTTTTAAACCTTTTCATGTGATTATACTATTCTTTACACACACACAATTATTGTTCTGATTAATATATTTGCATACTTGACTCCGAGCCATACTTCAAATGTGAGAAGTAATAATACTACATGTTTGACCAAAAAATAACTAGATGGAGCGGGTTGGAATCGGTGATTATTATAACTTGATTAATTCATCAGGATTGTCAAGTTCGATCACTACTTTAAAATTAACTTTCAATTCGTAGATTTCACTTTCAAACTGTGATCTGCCTGCTTCAGCCGGATAGTGTCGCTCACCCTCATACAACTAAAGTATAGCTCAAAACCCCGTATACATGAATCAGTGCTGAACAAATGATTATCATTATTATTATTAAATTAAGCTGATAAAGAAAGTAATTCATGTTTTAGATATATCTTTAGTTTCTAAGAAAACAGCAAAGCAATATTGAATGTAGATTTTCCATACTGCTTTTTATATTTTTTCCATTTTTTCCTGTGTTGCATATATTTAGGTATCTTTATAAAAGCTTGTTCTCATAAACTAATATTTCTCTGTTATGATTTAATGACTCCTATAATGTGTTGGTTTTGTTTTTTCTTCTAATAATTGTAGACCGCTGTTGCTAATATACGTTCTGTTTTGCCTCAAATAATCAACGATAAGTATGAAGAAACAAACACTTATAATGATACTAATTCCTTGTTAAAACTTAAAGCAGATATGTGGGCTTTAGCTCATACCTGTTCAACATCTTACGGACAATACTGGTTATTAAGACATCCTGAACTGATGACATTATTAACCAGTCTTGCTTTACACTCCAATCTAATGGACATCAGAGCGTAAGTTAACATTTAAAGAAATGTATAAATTAATTTCTTATTATCACTATTGATACGTTTCCCCCCTTCAAAATCTATGTATCTAGAAGATTAAAAATACAACTTAAACATCAAGTTTATGTTTACATAATACATTTTCCATTAATATAAACATTGTATAAAAAAGCTAGAAATACTAATCAGTTATGTAAATTAAAATATTTCATTGAATTAATTTTGAGTACCTTGATCTCTTTAACTTAAACAACAATCTTCTCTTTCAACTTTAAAAACGGTTATCTCTGAGTTATTTTTCTATTTAATGTTATTGTGACTTTGTTAGGACGGGATAAAATTAGTTATCACGTTTTAATTTATTGCAATATTCATTCAGTATCGCATTCAACATTCATTTCATCCATTCAATTTAAGCTATGCTCAATATATCGTTCAACTACCAGTTTTCATCGGGTTATATCGTAACCTGATAACATTACTATTTTTAAATGGTTACACCAATTTAGAAAAAGTTTTGATTTACTGTTCTTAAGAAGTTTATTTGAAAAAAAATCATCTGATATTCTTTTATGTACATATGTACTGATATTAAGTTTAATTTCAAGATGAGAGTATGCGATATAATTTTTGGTCGTGTCCCGTAAATAGGATTAAGTCGCTTATTTTTCAGGGAATATGCTAAGTTAGTTACCTATGGACACCTACTCAATAATTTGGTTACCACAGTTAGTAAAGAGAAGTATTGATTGATTTTATAAAAATATGTTTTGTTGCTGAAATTAATTTACTGATTATTATTGATTCACAGGGTTTTTGTGCAGATGTTTCACATAAATTAAGATCGAATCTTTTAGTTAACTGATAACAGTTACGGAGTACCAGTTTGTCTCAATATACAGTGTAGTTTCCAGGTCGTATACACAAACCCTGTGGCATCGACTACCTGTAACTCCACATTAGTCTAGAAAACCGAAACCTCGATATTTGACTTTGAGGATGGCTTTGTTAAGACACATATCCTAAATCATTGTGGTTCATATGTTGAAAACCAGTCAATCCTAATGTAGCATAGTGTGACCCTCGTCCAATGTAATCGTTGAGTTGCCATCTTATTATTCCCGATGTAGACCACTAAATTGTTCAGTTATCAATTTAATGTTTCTTGCATTTTTTTTATTAGGAACTCCACATATCTTATTGACTGTGGCTCAGCTTCTCTTTAGCTCTGTTATGCAGGGGATTATGTTCATTTGCTCCAATTAGTTTCGTGTTAAACTATTTTATACTGCATTTTATTCTTCATGTAATTGTATGTTAGAGTCTAGTGGGATTTCTATTAGCGGAATTTTTACCTCCCATTTTGTCATATTCATATAAATCTTGAATTCTAAGAGTTTGTTCCCCTTGTTCTTTGAAATTTATCCCAATTTTCATTTTTTTTTCTGTAACCTCTTTTTTTAATATTAGGGTTGCATGGATTTGTTTGAATTTAATTGCTACACCATCAAATCAAATTTTTCGACAAAATAACTGTCTAGGAATCTTACAAAATAACCAATCATCAAAGCACATTAATGATCTTAAGTGCAATGAATCTTTATCCGATTGGTTATTCATTCCTCAAATATTTTATGATAGAAATGTTAAAACTAACGAAGGAGCTCAAGATGAGATATTGGCCTACCCGAAAATCCAATCACTCAGTGGACAAATGATCCAAACCAAGTCAAAACCAAATCGATTACTTTCTGATATCTTTTCTGTCGTTCCTCCAGCCACTAATTTTGGAGCAGAAACTAGTAAGATATATACGATATATATTGATTCTTTACTCTAGAATTTAATTTTATCTATTTTGTCTTTTCTTTACATTAAAGGTTTGTTTTCCTATCCAATCTAACACCAACTATCATAGAACCATAGAATATTAAAAAAAAGCTGTTACAGAAGCTTCTAAAATATTCGTATGCCAACTGTCTATCTCTCCCTATTTCCGTCTCAGTTATGCGAATAAGTGTTTTCAAACACTAGAATTGATGTGCAAATTAGCAGTTTTCAGGACAATTTGTCAATTATCTGTCATTAACAGGTTCACTCTGAGAGAAAACGCAGTTTGGCAGGTAGATAGAATTCATAAAATAATATTGTCAATCAAGTTCAATATATTAACAGAGGCACAGTTTTAGAGAGTTCGATACTGAACAGATAATCATTTGCAGATAAAACTTTTTATCTATGAATAAAAAACAAGATATTTCTGACGAACTAATCATCATACCATTAATCTAAGATTGTGTCGTTGAAAAGAATTTCTATTCTGGTTATACCTATATACCGATTACTCACTTATATCTTTCTGTAGCAATAGTAAATAACAAACAATAGAAAAAGTACTATTAGTAGTCGTTTAATTAGTCGCGTGATGAAAACATACTTTACGTATAATGTTACAATTCTTGTCCCAACCTCTTTTTTGTGTGGATAAGTATTCTTTAGTGTTGTAAGAGTGAGGTTAACCAAACAAAGGACTTGAAAGCCAGTGTAATCTAATTCACGAAAAAATTATTTTCCAATTATTTGGGCAGGTTTAGTTTTCGAAAATTTGATTTACACTTACACGTTTATTTCTGTTAATATAGTCGGAAAATCCAGGTGTTAAGCAATATAAAGTGGCGAATTTTCTTTATAGTGCTTCGATTCGTGTTATGCTAATTTGGTGAATTAGTTATGTTATAAAAGTAATAATAGAAAATACACTAAAGTAACTGTCTTTGCGACAGTTGTCTCGTTCTACTATGGAATTTAGCAATGCGCTTCCACAACCTAACCTGCAGCCGAACCCCGGTATGTTTCAGGTCTCGCGATTAACGATTAACCTCTAGACCACTGAGATGAGATTCAATAGCTCGCATGTCTAGTTTCGGTCACTTCGTGATGTTGTACAACTATCTTCCAATACGACTGGCAACTAACTGTGGGACTAACTCTTGTTTTTATTGTATTGTTGATTATTCAATACAATAATATTTATACTTTACTTTTTAAATATTTTTCTTTAAAGAAAATGAAAATCTTCCTCTTAGTACACAAAAGTCCATCAAATCGTCAGTTCGTAGTCAAGTATTTGGAAACTTTAATCGTTCCCGTCGGTGGTTGCATCGTCGTTGGTCACCTAATCATAGACGGCTTTCTCCATCAATTTCTGAATCAAGAGAACATTCGTCATTTCATTTACCGAGTCATCATCATTTTGTATCATTTGTTAAACCAAAGCATTCAATAAATTCTTTTACTCAAATTGATTCGTTCAGTTATGATGTATCATCTGTCAATATTTCATCTAAGCAACTTTATTCTACATGGACACATCGTGACTGTATTTCACATCGTCAAGTTGTGTAAGATGACTGTTTTTCGAACTTTAAATTTTGTAACTTTGTTAAAACATGATATACCCAAGTTATTTGTTAGATTATTCGGAAGAAACAATGGATTATTGTATTGTTCCATAGATTTTTAATATTTTAGGATTGTCAGATCTTTTCTTACTTATAAATACCTGACAACGACTGAGTTTCGGATACTGAATATTATATGGGGAGTTTCGAAATTAGTATTAGCACTGGTATTTAATACTCCAGTCATGTTCTTTGTGCTTTTATCAACTTACGAACTTCGTTAAGCACCGTTTTAAACGTGACTATTTCATTAGCTAGAGCTCCGAGTTACGGTAATATCATCATGCGTTAGTTCCGTTCCCTGAGCAATTACGAAATACATCTTGCCATTTTCGTCTCCCATGACTATCATTCGTGATTTGTTGTTTATACTTGTATACTAACAGTCGATTTATTTCTTCTTTTCTGGATTTTAACGTTTTTGACGTTTTACTGTGCCATTCAAATACTCTCTGATTCACTTAGACTGTTTTAGATTCATAATAATTTTAAATATGTGGTAGATCATTTTATCAGAACACCTCTATTATTGCTAATATTTTGAAATCTCATTTTTATGTGCATCACACCAACGCTGCTTAGTGTGTACATGTGTTTTTTACTGAACTGAATTTATCTATATTTGAATCCTCAATCCTCTAGTTATATGATCAAATTTTGTTTGGGTATTGAGTGCAAAGTTTTCAAGTTGAATGTCTACGAAAAGTTTTGGTCACTTGTCTGAGATATGCTTGTGATAAATATAACTATTACACATACACGTTTAAACGGTTGATTTTCAACGAAATAGGTGACACGTTCGAACCTTTTTCATGTATCGATGCTTCGATATCATTGCCTCTGGTGATGTCTTTCTTAAACCTAGTGTTAATAATTGGTGGGAATATTTAAGACTCGTTTTTTTTGCAGAAAATCGTCTGAACATAAAAATTTTTCTTAACCTGTCAACACTACAAATTTAGCGGGTTCGATTACTAGGATTTAGGTGGTTACATAAACCTCCTTAAAATCTAGTTTTATTTCGATCTTATTCGCAATAGTTGTATTTCTCATTTCAAGTTTCAACAACATATAATCTCAGAACATACAGTTATTTAAATATTTTATTATTGTTTTTGAAATAGTTATGCACTACAAATTGCTTTTTAATGACTATATATATAATTCGACTGTGTATTCAAGTAGAAATATTGCTTGTCAGCGTCTGCCATTGTAAGTCGTACCAAAGAAGTACATAAAGGTCATGAAGGCTTTTTACTCAGAAATTAATGGTCGAGTCAGAAGCTATCGCGAAATACCATCAAGTGGTACTGAGCATGGTTGCCTATTTTTCCAATTCTTATTTACTTTTGTCGTAAACATTCTTTTAGAGTTAATGTTTTCGTCCTCTCACGTTTCAAAGACTGATCTCTTACTAGGTGACTCATTTTTCGAATAAGAATACATAAATGACAGTTCTGTTTAACAAAGACACTACCAAAATATTAAACCGTCTGATCAGAACTGCTTTATGTTACTTCTTAAGCTAATTATAGTGCACGAAGTGGCTGGGCACGTTCACTACTCCATTTATCTTGCAAATCTCATTTGCCCTGTTGAGTTGGTTTAGGATGAAATATTGTTTTAGCCGATGCCATTGTACATCAGCGTAGTCGTTATTGTAATGTCAGTTTTTCAACAAATGGGGGGGGGTCTAGTGAGAAGCAGTTATTCTATCATGCTTTTATGGTTTTGAAGCATGGCCATTAAGAATGGAAGATATTCGTATACTACTAATATTCAACCATAGGTTTTCCAAAGCATTTATCACTTTTCTTAGAACGATTGACTGTACAATGTTGAGGTTAGACAGTTGGTACTTAGTAAATATAGTAAATCTTTTTCGATTGAGGCGGTTAAGACATGCAATCATCAATCGCTTCAATAAAAGATATTTGCTTATACAGAAAAAGTTATAGACCGCCATATCAAACGTTGCACCAATCCATGAAGTCATTGACTGATGTTGTAATTAATGTTTGTAGATGCAAACTACCTGATTGGGGTATATGTGAAAATCACAATCAGTAGTTGAATACTTTGGGTAATTTGTCTCAACATCTCTCACAACGGCGCAGATGCATTCACTATTCACCTTGATTTCGTTTTCTCAATGTTTAGTTTTCCTTTTTATCGTTAGTACTACTCTAAATAATTTGATTTATTTTGTTATTTTCATCTTGTGCTAATCAGGTATGGCAAATCAAGCCAAAGCACATCTGTACCAGGCTCTGTTGATGATGTCTATCCGTCCGTAACTTTAACCTATAAGGTATAATGTTAGATTCATAGTTAACTATACTGATGCAGTGAGTACACCTTTATGTATGGTTGTTGCCATTAAATTGTATACTTTTTGGTGATTGGGTGTCAATGATGATTTGACCATTCGAACATCGTTCTGTTCTATACGAATTATATTTAACTAGTATACAGGGTTTTGAAAACCATTGGATATTATAATTTATATCATGTACTGATTTTAGTTCGGGAACCATTGAGAACCAGTAAGCAACGAACATCTGTTTCCTCCTTGTACAGGACTCTTCGGGAGTGTCCGTTAGGTCCTCGATTTGATCCCCGATTGGGTCGAAGATATGCGCTGCCCAGGAGTCACATACTAGGAGGAAACAACTGTTCAGTGCTTCCTGGTTTCGATTTCGGCTGACGTTATTATATCAGTGGTATAAATCCATTATGACTGTTGTTAAAATTTATGGGAAGGATTATAAATATTTACAAGTGATTGGTTGAAAAATTCCTCTGATTGAGTGTCCAATGTATATACGAGCACACTTTTTGTTTCCTGTATCAGTTTGTCAATTGGCTATAAATAATACATTATTGTAATCGGGTTATTCGAAATCCGTGTCGAGTAATTTGTTTCGATTGAACGTAGAAATTGACATTTTTATATTAAAATTTTAATATAAACATCCTCTTAGACGGTTGAATTGTTTTCTAAGCCAAAATTTTGATTGACGAAATGAAAAGCCACTTCAAATACTTGGATGATACTCGTTGTTAATAAATATAGTGGTAATAATTGGAATTAATTTTCTTATTGACCTCGTTCGAGTGGAACTTTATGTTCACAGTAATATAGATTGATTTGTTGATTATCCTAAGAAAAATGGATTGGTAAAAAAATGTACCTGTACATTTCCATTTAGATGGAATGATTTTACATGTCATCCAAGGGAAACTAGACTAAATTGATAACTGTTTATTGGCTATAATGATCAGTTTATTGTAAATAGATATAAATTTCTAATTACAATGGTAATTACTATTACCTGAAAATTGATAAACTTAAAAATTCACAAGGTGGAAAGGGTTTTCCCTTTAACCATTTTCATGAATTATCTTAACTTATCATTTAACTAATAGATTTATGCTGACAAAGCTTGTCACAGATGTCTAATGATTTGAATATGTAATCGTGGTAACCTAATGCAAATGGTACACTTGATTAATGCTAAGTGCTGAATTAGTCTAATATTACTGAATGATTAACATTTCGAAAGGTTATCAGAAGGGGTTTCTAGAGATTTTAGAAATTTTCACAGATTGAAATCATGAGTCAGTTGAACCTAAACCACCATGGAAAACCTGGAAGCACTGGACGGCTTCAACTGACTCATGATATCAATCTGTGAAAATTTCTAAGATTTCCACAAACCCCTTCTGATAATAATCATCTGCTCACTAGTGACTGACTTCAAGAGATACTCTTGGAGTTCTAATGGGAAGCCGTTACCACTGGAGTTCAACCAGGTCTGTTGTGAGATATCACCTCACCGATGACAATGGTATACGGTGGCGCAACTTCGTGGATTGGTTGAAGTTAAACATTAACACCGTCGGATGCCGGCTCAGTGGTCTAATGGTTAAGTACTCGCGCGCAAAGGCAGTAGGTCCTGGATTCGAATCCTGCGAGTTGCGGGTTCGTGGATGCGCGCTGCTGAGGAGTCACATACTAGAACGAAACGGCTGTCCAGTGCTCCTAGGTTTTTCATGTTGGTCTAGCTTCAACTGACTCGTGATTTCAATCTGTGAAAATTTCGAAAGATTGTTCAGTGAAGAAAATTGTCTTTTGATTAATTAACAGCATTTTAGAATTCATGAAAGTACACATAAGTAACCATGAAAGAATCCCATTATGTCATTCGATAAAATGGCTTTGCACACAATGTCACATACTCAAACTGAAAAGAAGTCGTTTACAGTTAATTTGTCATTTGACAAATGTTTCAATGATAATAGTCTAAATATTTAAATATCTAGTAAAGTAACCTGTAATTCAATAAAACAATGTTGTATGATTTTAGAAAGTTAACAATAATAAAAACACTGAATCATCAATTGTACATTAACAGACGAATATCTGAAGGAGGGTTATATGTAACGATGTAGACTTGAAGGAAATGTGTTGTATACCAAGATTCGATTTGAATAGATGGATAGCTAGTGTCTGACTTACATATATTTTTAATTGGTGTATTTATACTTTTTGGTATAGGTCGTAACGTCATCGTAATCCAGCCAATCTTCAAGTCGGAAGTTTATGCAGCTGTCCAATCACAACATGCCACGTAGATATTCTACAAATTCTATCGGTCTATGATTTGATAGAATCTTCGTCTTTTTAAAGCCTCTGGAGGCTTCATCGCACCTTCTGGAAGCCGCGCTAACAAGTTGATAAAATGTTTTCAATGTGAGATTCCTTCATATACTGACTATTAGCACTATGTACCATAACAAATGTAGTTTGAGTAAACTACGTGAACAAAAGTGCTAAATTCTATCGTAATTTATGTTAGAAAAATCACTGAAGGTTGATCAAAATAAACTGACGATTGAGGTGTTCATTGTGAACTGACAGATAAAATAAGTGATCAGAAAAGCGTCGATATTAAATAAAGCAAATATGAAGTTTAACAACTTTGTTGAAAACACATCAAAAATGACCTTGAATTATAGTGAAATTCGTGAACTAAAAGTGGGAATAACCAATCAAATAGCAGCAAAGGTCTGTGAGATGTGAATTTAAGAAAACCTTTGTCTGCTATCCTTACATTAAAACCTAACTTTTATTATCAAGAGTCTAGATAATATGAAATTTCCTTAGTAATTGAACACACTGACATATCTATATATCTAAACTATTGTTTTTCCTTCAAGTTCAAATTTTTATACTCGTCAATTTTCAATAATTTTGAACACGTTCTGATTATATTTCAGTTCGCCTTCGTTACCACAAATGGATCAGCACTTGCTGTTGATCATAATGATCATGAATTGACCGATTCAAAGCCTAATTCTAATTGTTCGGATACCAGATGGTTGTTACAATCGTTGTTTCACTGTGTACACAAAAATCAAATTATTTATTTACCAACTGATATAAAAATATTGGGCTTTAAAAAGTATACTAAAAATAAGCAGAAATACACATTGAAGAACCCGATTAAATCACTTCAGTTATCATCACCTCCATCATTATTCAATAGTAAAACAAATGGATCGATCAAACCTTTTTATAATGATGATTCACATTGTTTATTTAGATCACTGAATTCTCTGGACAATAACAAACATTCAATATCCTTTGTTGATGTTGCTGTGCATGTTCAATTAATGTTATCTTTATATTCTAATGACAAATTACCTACATTATCATCGATACCTGATGAAATATCAACAGATACTACTAACTATACTGCTAAAAATGATATCAGTGAGTGTTCATCAATACAGCAAAGTAGTTGTGACAACGAAAATCGATTGTATTCATCCAGTATACAAATTACTGATCATTCAAATATTTCCTCGTCGCACCAAGAAAATCATGCATTTGAAAAATCATCACTTATATCTGATGAGATTCGTATTGTTTCTGCACAGCCCTCCATCACCTCTGTATTGTCATCTAATCAGAATTATTTTGAGCATAAAAACCAGTAAGCAATTGATTTATTTGTGTTAAGATGTCTCACAAGCATTATCATGTGCATCGCAGATTCGTTCAGGTTGAGTAAGGTTTCAAAAATGTAGCGTAAAATGTTTTACCCACATATTTTAAAAATTGGTGTTCCCACTGAACTTTTGTAGGTTCCTACTTTCGAAAAGCAGTTTTATTCAATAAGACTATCTTTAACCCATACTTGAGATTGATTAGCGAGCAATTAGCTTGTGAGAAATAAAATAAACAATTTTAAGTAGTAGTACATCTAATTTAAAGAATTAGATCGCTATTTGGATTGATTTTAACAATGATCCTAACGTAAATTTCGTTAATTATAGTAATGGAAGCTCATTCTCCTCGGCATCGATTCATAGGTTTGGATTCCACTTTCATCCAGCTATGAAGTCTCTGCAAATTTACAGAGATTTGTTCAGAAGATCGAATAATTCCAAGTAAGTTGGGTTTTTAGTAATACATATTTAAGTGGAACATTATCGCCCAACCCCTCAATCAACCAATCGTTTTCAAAGTGTGATTCTTAGTTTCCCATTCTTCAGAAAACGTATTTTAGAGTAATTTTGGTAACTAAGTCGAATCTATTTGTTATTGTGTATACCTACACTGGTTGATATGACGGCCAAAAATGAAACCCAATATTTAAGTCTTAATTGATTGGAGAGTGAATGGCCTACAAACTAACTTCTTCCAATCGTCCTCGTCACTTGATCATGTTTATTTTTCCAGATTCTGTTCTTCTGGCTAGTGCTCTTGTCTTTGATCTCAAGCCGTTCGGGACGAGATCAATTGTCAATGAATCGGTTCCATGAGTGGCCATCACTCAGCCAAATCGTACCACTTATTGATCAGCGTTTTACTGATAGACTTCAACAATCGATTCACCGGACGAAAAAACTAGTTGATGTAAAACCGAATTGATATGTCATAACCCAATAGAGACATAGTGATTGATGGTAAAATATGTGGAAATTCTTTAATAATGATAGTTTATTGAATAAATTAGTTATCTGTTCAAAAATAACCGTATCATTGTTGTTCATATTAGCTGGTAATTTTTAGTTAAAATCTAACTTATCTACCTTGTTTTCTTTTTTATCCATTACAACCATTTGTTGTGTGCAGTGAATTAAGTATTTCACCAAATCATTCATTTGAAAAATTGGGTGCAGTTGACAATTGGCTTGTTTCATCTGAAGTGAATGAAATAAATTTGACTAGAAATGATAATGATTTGCCCAGATTATCTGTTGTAAGAATGTCATCTGAAGAATGTATTGATGTAGAACAATCTCCTGAGTTATCAATTAAGCATCACCATCAGTTGAAAGATACAAATGATCATGATGAAAGCAACGATAATAATAATAATGGATGGAGTAATACTGAAAATAAAGTGAATTCATCAGTTCGTTCAAATTGTCTATCACCTAGTACATGTCTTTCTTATTCATGTTCTTTGACTAACAATGATAATAATGGTTAGTGATAGTAGGATTTTTATTATTTTCACATGTGTGTAATATTATTAATAGTAGTCGTTTTGTTTAGTAGGTAAATTCCCAGCAGTTGCTATTTGTCCACATATTACTCGCAAAATGTTCCTATCTATATTTAATGTATGTAAGATGAATGCAGCCGACATGCCACTTTGGACTAGACGGCACCCAACATCAAGATATGCCTTTAGGCTTGATAAAAATAATGCTCCCTGACGGATTTGGGCTTGCATCATCCAGCCTCATTATCTAAGGTGTTATGCCTTAGCTGCAAGTTCGATCACCACTGAGGACTAGATAAACACGTCTTTTGTCATCACTCAGTGATATATATATATATATATATATATATATATATATATATAATTGGTAAGGGAAATTAGTGTAAGGGGTAGAAGTTGAAAATTGCCATAATTATATTCATATACTGTAAATTCGTTGAGTAAATGCTTTTCTTGGTTGCATGTTTTATTAACTAATCAAGTTGACAAAAGATAATCCCTCAAACAACTGGGTTCAAGTCAGAATGTATTCATTTCGTAAATAGCATGTTGTCATTACTATTATTATCCATATATTGAATCGAAATCTAACAGTTTGCGTTTTACTCAGTCAGTCAGCTACAACGTAGGACCAGGCACATGTATGCATCGGCCCAGGTTGCCATACCTCATTAGCACAGCAAGATGAACACCGGATTCATAGGAGTGGTTAGGTCAAAGGTGGTAATATATAGGAGAAAGATTGCAATAAGGATATAGTATAGGAAGAAAGAATTAGTTCGTAGAAAGAAAGATGTGAAGTGATCTTAATCTCTTAGTTTAAGAGAAGACAGAGAGTGTATACACCGACGCCATTGTGATCGATTCTGAGCCATGTCACCAAGGGTCTCCAACCATTGGTTACGAAAGTCACGCGGACCCCAACCAAGTAGTCTGCATCTACCAACATGGCTCAGACTAGAAGTTAGTGACTTCAGGCACTGATGCCACGTTTTGGTTTGGCCGCCCCTAACTTTCTTCCAACCATCCCCTACACCGGTTAGCATTGCACGTCGCGGTAATCGGTGTTCAGGCATACGTAATACGTGGCCCAACCATCTCAGTCGATGAAGATTCATAACCTCATCAACTGATTTACCATCATTCCCTAATACCCTGCGTCTAACCTCACTATTACTTACCCGGTGATCCCAGCAGATGCCAGCAATATTTCTAAGGCATCTGTGGTCAAATACTAGTAGCTTACGGGTGTCTTCTACTCTTAAGGGCCATGTTTCGCTGCCGTAAATTAAAACAGAACGGACTGCCGCGCAGTATACTCGTCCTTTTATTGATAGACGGATATCTCGCCTCCGCCAAAGGTGACGTAAGTTGGCAAAAGCCAAACGAGCTTTACGAATCCGTGCTGAGATTTCGTCAGACACCAACCCATTAGGGCTGATCAGACTTCCAAGATAAGTGAAGTTGTCAACTCGTTCGACTACTTCACTCCCTATCCTTAGTTCAGGTGTTGACGCAGACCAGTCCTGAAGCAACAACTTGCATTTAGAGGGAGAGAAGCGCATCCCAAACATTCTGGCATTGTTGCTTAGTGCTACCAGAAGACTCTGCATTTTGTCAGCGTCTTCACCAAACAGGACTATGTCATCTGCATATTCTAAGTCGATAAGTGGACCTCCTGGAAGGAGATCAATACCCGAGAATTCAGTCGACGAGAGTGTTATTTCCATCAATAGGTCTATGATGAAGTTAAACAAAAATGGAGAAAGTGGGCAGCCTTGACGGACACCACTTGAGGTTGCAAAAGTAGATGACAGTTCGCCATAAGCCCTGACTCGACTAGTAGTGTTCGAGTAAAGAGCCTTCACAAGGTTTATGTACTTCTGAGGTACGCCTTTCAATGACAGACACTGCCACAGAGTCTCGCGGTCTACAGAGTCAAATGCTGCTTTTAAGTCAAGAAAGACCACCATCGTCGGACGCCGATAGGTATGCCTGTGTTCTAGAACCTGACGAATGGTGAATATGTGGTCGATGCAGCCACGACCAGGTCTAAAGCCAGCTTGGTTCTCTCGTGTTTGTAGTTCACGAGTCTTAGTTAGGCGTTTGATAATTATCGAGGCCAGTATTTTAGATACTATGTTTGTTAAACTAATCCCTCTGTGGTTGTCACAGGATGATTTTGACCCTTTCTTATATATTGGGACGATAAGTGATTGCGACCAGTCAGATGGGATAACGTCTAATTCCCAGATCTTAGCTAAAATATTAGTCAACCTAATCGCTAAAATTGGACCACCATCCTTAAAGACCTCTGGAGCCAATCCATCTGGACCAGCTGCCCTTCCTCGTTTCAGATTAACTATAGCCTTCTCAACTTCAGCAAGAGTTGGGGGACCTACTTCAATGTTCCATTCACTTTGTCTGGGAATGGAGGGTAGTTGTAGAGTAGCTGAAGGCCAGCTGAACTGTTCTCTAAAATGTTCCGCCCATCGTTCTAAACGTCTGGACTGGGAGCAGATGAGAGTATCATCTTTTTCCGAAATAATCTCACTTACACTTGACTTATTAATTCCAGTTTCTTTTATTAGTCTGTAAAGCTGTCTTGTGTTCCCTATAGTCGCCGCCTTTTCCATCTCTTTTGCTTTCGTTACCCACCACTGCTCACGGTCGTTCCTTAGACTTTTTCTTAACCTAGATCTGATTTGTTTACGCTCTTCATCATGTTCAGAACCTGATGGGACGAGTTTGCGAGAATCCATCAGTGTGACAGACCTTGAAGAAATCCACTGGTTCCTTGTAACTCTGTGGTTTAAGTCACTAATAGATGTCACTGCTGTTTCCACAGCTGCTTGTATGCCCTTCCAAGCAACATCTGGGTCAGCCTCGTCTTCACAACTACCTAAGTGTGACCTCAGTTGTTCCTGGAACCTACTTTTGGTTTTCTCGTTACTCAACTCAGTTCTAATGGGTCTTTTTAATGTGGCTTTTTTGCGTCCATTGAGGCGCAAGCAGATGCGTGCCCGTATTAGGGCATGGTCGGAGTCCAAGCAGGTGCTCCAGAATGAGCGACAATCTTCTACCGACCCTCTCCAACGATGACTGATGGCAATATGGTCTATTTGAGTCCATCGTTGGTTTGGTGTAGGGGGTCGCCATGTTAGACGATGTCTCTCCTTATGCTTAAAATTTGTGTTTGCTAAAAATAAACGATTGTCTGAGCATAGCTGCAGCAGACGATCACCATTATCTGTTCGCTGTGTCGGAATACTAAAATATCCACCTAAATGCCTTTCTGTTTGGTTTAAACTGCCTATCTGAGCATTAAAATCACCTGCTACGAGTACTATGTCTGAAGAAGTTCGGACAGCTTTCTGTAAAATTCATCTTTCACTTCATCTGAGCTGCAGTCAGTGGGAGCGTAGGCAGAAACGACAAAAAGGCAACGACGTTAAATTGTAAATCAGTCGTCTGTCTGCATTCGAGTAAGAAGCATTTAATGACGGGTCATATGTTCTGAATACTGCTAATACACTATTGTTTGATTTCTGGTATCTCTCAGTGCCCCTACTGAAAAGAAGGCTATCAGATTGGGACGCACTTGACTATTTCATAAACGTGACGACGATAAAAGGTCTCTCTCAGTTTGAAAACTCGATCTTGTCACATTTACCATTTTGGAACATTTTCAGTGCCTGAAGCTAGAGCGATTATATCAGTTAAAACCCATTACAATGTGGTTGTTGCAAGAGATATATTTTGATATTTAAAAAGTGAAAAGAATAATTGTTACAGTAAATGTGAGAACTTACATATGACCTATTTAATGTAACAGAAGATTCTGTTTGCGGAGATTGAATTTCATTGTTTACATCTTGGATTGATCTTAGGTAAACAACCATTGCTTACTCATTATTTTTAGTTGTATAGACGAGATATTTGGCTGCTACAATACTTATCGAATTACTATCATTGACATGATCCTTTCATCATTGCATCATTTATTTTTTGTTGTTCTTTTTTGTCATACTTTGTCGATAAATGTGAAATTAATTCACAGCATTAACCGTAAATGTTTACATGTATGTATTTTTAAAAAAACAAATAAAATAATTTGGTGTAGATTCGCAATGTGACCAACAAATGACTGAACAAGATATGTGGTGTAATCAACTGTTAGATTCTATATCGAATTTATCATCAAACGTATTCTCCTGTTCATCATCTCATGATAATAATAGTAATACATTGGATCAAATTATTCATAAAGCTATAATTACACAACAAAATTCCAAAGGTTCTATACAACTTTTCAATGCGTGTACCTATACAATAATTGCTGATTTACTTGGTTCCTATCCTTTTTCACGTTCAATACGAACTAAAATACAATCTGTATTTCTTTACTTTCAATTAGATGAAGTAAGTGTATTGATAAGTGTTTTTTTAAACATGTGAATCTGTGTGAGGATTTGTGGAATTTGTAGTATTTTCACGGTCGAATTCACGAGTCGATTTAAGCTAGACCACCACTGAAAACTTGGGAGCACTGGACGGCTCTTTTGTCTTTGTATGGAACTCTACAGCAATGCGCGTCGACGGTCCTGCGTACCCTTAGACCGACTACATCTCCTTACGTTGCTCCACTGCCTTGTGGGTCAGACCTTTAGGTAAAGGCCCGGGGTGGGGCTTTCTAAGAAAACCACCTGCTTCGGTTTGGGCACCCGGGCTGTTTCACAGCCCACACACAGAATGAAATGACAATATTTACGAATAAATGGGTAATTGAGGTTCTCTATTCAATGTCTAAATAGTTGTTCCGTTCTTCACTAGACAGCGTTGAAAGGTGATGGGTTTAGTTTTATTTAAAGTGGTGTACAAACAATAATAAACTGTTTAAAACTAAAGTGGGACACTTTCTGTACTTCTTTGATAGATGTCATTTTTTGATAGAAATGATTCCCAAATTTATCTTCGTTAAATGCCCTATTTTTTCTAGGCCATATGATATTTACTACTGATATTTTATAAGCGGTTGAGAATGAAGTATGTGGATTAGTGATCGAAAAACTATTTCACTAATATGATTTATAATTATTTCTCTTGCATTACACTATTAATGTTCCATGTCGGTTAGATTTCGTTCGGAAGTCGTATCAACAATCCTTGAGAAACATACTCTTTGAAAGATTGTGATATATAACGTATGGTTTAAAATATTTTTCTTTATCTCTCAAGTATGCTACGATAATGCGTTAATACGATGATGAGACTGGTCACGTTATGTTCAGATCCAGGATTCGTGATTCTAAAATAGAGAACCAGAGTAGAGACTAGATAATACTTTATTCAACACAGCTGCAAGCAGTCATCCTCAGTGAGTCCGAAGTATAAATTAACGAGAGGAAAGGAAATCACATATTTAATAGTCAGTAGTCCAAGTGCCTGTTTGTCCACACTCAACAATCAATCACATTTTATTTTCACTATCACATATCAGATTGGAATTCACATTATCTCACAGACATTGCCACTAAGATAAGTGTTCACATTGCTGTTACTCCTTTTTGACGGGTTCAAACGAACGTGAACTTTTACGTTTCATGGGAATTTCTGTCTATTAGTTATAGCACCAAAAAATATACACTACGATGTTCATTCTCTTAGACTGTTAGCCACGCATTGTGCAAAGTGACCGAATGTATTCCATTAGCACTTAGAACTCAGTAACGAGGACTACTCAATCAAACGATTCTATCTTGTTATTACTTTGAATATCTTGGAATTTATGTACATTTATACGCCTTATTTTTCTTTCCAATTCGTTTAGCTTATGGTCGACGCAAATAATTCTTTAATTGAAGTCGAGAAATGTTTGAAATCAGAATCAAAATTTACTGAATAATGCATCAGTTCCCGTTTATGTATGTATATCAACGTGATTCATATTTATTTTCTTGCTCTGCGTGGATAAACTGTACATTGTGTGTACTGTTGTATATTTCTTTTAGATTTTCATCGCATGAGATCAATTTATCTGTTTTGTTGTATAATTAAATTTATCTCGAAGACCGTCTTTAGACACTACCCTTCAATTTTGTTGTATGTTTTATCATATGTAAACAGGAGCATATATGTTTTACACCAAAATATATTCTAAAGGAAAATGGTAGGGATAGCGAACTTTTCATTTTATATATTCTTTATTCATTTTTCTATTTCATTATGTTTGCTAGACAGTTAATTTGTACGAAACTACTGGAAACAGGATTGCGAAGTTGCTTTTCAGGTGAAAGATATAAGGGGGAAGCGAATTAGAAGCAAGATTTGTGAGAGTAAGTTTGAAATGAATTATCAATTGAAAACTGAGTGATTCTTTGTTAATGTGAATACGTTTCATCATAGTAATAATGTGCATAATCGATTCATATAGAAACAAATATGTTTATTTACACACACATGTGCCTCTCTGTCCACATAAAAGAAATGACCCTATTTGCCTTCTGTGAACCTTTATTTATTTACCCTCATTCTCGACTTCTATTTTTTCTATTTCGAGCAACTGATATCTCTAAACACTTAGTGGGCAAAGAGAGAAATGTAGATCTTTTTGGAAACTCCACATTTTATTGGTCTTCTCGCTTGTGTATTCATAAAATCTCTGTATTTTTTATTCTCCTACCTTTCCTTGTATGTTTTTTATACGTGTAAATAATTGTATGCACCCAACATATTTGTCTTTTCTTCCGTATAAAACAAAACCCTTTTTATGTCCCACTACTAATGTTACTTGATTCTTAAAAAAAAAAACGATTTCTTTCTTGCACATATGTGTTGTGCATGTACAGTAATTCTTTAAATGTCGTCTATGCACACATTTTGATAAATTTCTCCCTTCTAAAATGTGCATATATCCATTCACCTTGTCTTTAATAGAGTTTTACGCCATTTGTATGCGTGGATGTGCTTTTGTGATGCGATTAACAAAGTGTTCCCCTCTTACTGTCTTTTCTGTTTTATATTAATTATTCATGTTTGTCAATATTTTTTATGTATATGACTTTGCAATAAAATTTTTCTAAAGGAGAGAAAAAAAAAGAAATTGAAAAAGATAGTGTAATCATACAATATTAATAAAATCATAGTAATAAATTCCTTGAATGTATTAACTGTTTTCTTTATATAAAGTGGGGTAGCTATTATCTCTATTTAACAGTTATTTGCTCAGAATCAGTCACAATAGAATACGTCCATTCGCACAACATAGCATAAGCGATCGAAGCCCTTAGCATCATGACGAAAAATCAAGGAAGATTTAACTCAGTTCATAAGTAATTCCAACATGTGTAATATTTATTAGCGAAATTTATCAAACTGAAAGTTATGCAATATACCCTTGTGGGTCAGGGTCATTTTACATTGGTTTTCAGGAGAACCAGACTTTCACGTGACAACCCAAACAGTGCAGCTCAATCCCGTTTAACAGGAGAGCCAGACACCGCCCGGGCTTAAAATTTGTAGCCCATATATATCAAACGACAACATTAATGTTCGTCATTCAACGAACAGGAGGGTGAATTCTGCGAACAGATAATAAACATTCATTAAAGCAAGAATTTGATTGGTTACAATGAATTGTCAATGTGGGGTTGTGGAGATTGTTTAAGGCTAACCATAAGATTTGATGGTCCAGTCACCTGTAAGATAGTGGATACACAGTGTTGACGAATCCTATACGTTGATAAAACAGCTGCCTAGTTATTCTTGGTTTGCAACGGTTGTTTAACTATGTTCAGTCCGTGATGTAAACTTTAAGATTCAACCTTACTCATGATTTTCACACTTGCGTTGATATCAAACATTTTATTAACATTAATTTCCCCTCTTCAATGTCACTAAGATACTGTCGCTAAACCAATTAAAAATTAGTGAAGAATTTTGTAATCTAATAGCAGCTAAAACATTTGAGGGTTCTTACGTAAGAGAAAGGTACAATGATTTATTTTTAGCTATAATTGACCAAAGTTATTTTCAGTTCTATCGCTTTTTCACATGCTGAATATTCGCATCTTATTGGGGTCCACTTACATCTTAAACAGTTCAGAGGTGAATGTTTTTTTATGGTAGTGAGTGATATGGTTTAAAATCTTGTAGAGTTCATAGTTTCTTACGCGATTGTAGATACACCTTAGCAATTAGTAACAAACAGAATGAAATCTGAATTTAAATCTTTCTGCCTATAGCTTTTCTCAGAATGTAAAACTTAAATTCATATTTTGGTTGAATTGTATCTACGACCGGTTGATTTCATAAGGTGAATAATTCGAAATTTTATTATTTTTCAGTTAAAAGATAGGCATCAAAGTCATTTGTTAATTCACAATGGAATATAATTTAAAAGAAGGTTTGAATCCCAAGCCTTTGAATTACTTATTTAGAGACTTTTCTGCTTGAGACTTTTAACTCAACAGCTGACTAGTACTTTAAACACAGAAGCCAAATATAAATTAAAATTCACAGAGTGAATTACATTATGTTAGTGTTACTTGTGAACAAACAAACAGACTAGGTGTAATAGATTTCTACTTTTTAAGTCACTGTCATTTGCTGAGGACATTACATTTTCACCTCTTACTGTTGTATAATAGTATAAGGTTGTGAAGATTGCTGAAAATAATCGAAATCATGAACGGATCAATGTTAGAAAACTATTAAAAACCTGGAGGCAGTGGACGGTCGTTTTGTCCTAGAGTGTGGCTCCACGTGGTACTTAAGCCCATCACCTGTCTCGGTCGAGAATCCTTAACTTTAGGCCACTGAGCAGGCAACCAAGTGTTGAGGTCTAACTTCAGTCAATCCACGAGATTACACGACCATTTCCCATTGTCTTCGATGAATAACTGTTTCACACCCAACACGGTTACACTCCACTGGTCACGGTTTCTGATTAGAAATCAGAGGATTCTCTTTCAAGGCCAGTTACTTGTGAGCACACTATAATTGTCAGTATAAGGTTATAGAGTTCCATATATGCATTACAATGTGTTATTGTCGTTTGTTGTTTCAAGTACCTGTGTTTAAATCACTAGACCACCTGCTTAAATCCCAAGACCACTAACTTCGGTTTAGTTGACGGGTTTCACCATCCCTTATACACAGTGTAATGCAAAGCAGAATATAATATTGTATGCTCCATTTATAAATCATATTTAGGAGCAATAAAATAATGCAATCAACTTTCCTTAATAAAACCGTTAAGTGTTATTTCCTAAACAAAACTTTAGTAGGTTCGTAGCTATACTTCATTCAGTAGCTTAAGATGGTGAACACCAAGATCTGTTGACAGTTATATAGGGTGTGTGGATGTAAGAAGGATATGGTAATAAGCTGGATATAAATACTGATTCTGACAAAAATATTTTAGCAACGATTCATAATTGAAAAACTATAAATTTTACTTCACAGATTCAACCATTTCATCTTTCTCCACTTGGAAAAATTTGATATGTACATTGATTTCTATAGTTTAGCAAGTTCGTGTAGGTTAATATGTAGACTAAATATAAAAATCACCTAAGTCCGTCCACTGTCTACAGTATAGTACGATTGCTTTTGAAGCTAATTTGATGTTTGATTATGTATATGATGACAAGTGTTTCATAACCTATTATTTATTTTCACCTTAGAAGCGATTTCATTGGCTGATTTTTTACGAATATCTTTCACATTGATGAAATAATCGTTTAGTCAAGATTTTCAATTGATCCATCTCAATTCATCTAGTTCAAATGAACAATGATGCTAACACCAAATAGTTATTTTCAATTATCTACCTTGTTATCGGTAGTTTGTCTGAGAAGATTAAGATTAAAATCATCGAATTAAGAAAAGCAATCACCTTCAGAAATAAAATTTTGAAGCAATTTTCGGAATTAGAAGGTTCATCCTCTTCTTTTAACTTAACAGACCTCAGATCCGACGATCTAATGATCACATCCCTAGTATAAAAATAACCTAATATGGCTTATGTATATACCCCTTCCCCTGATGTTTAGGCTTGGATTGTGATGCAGTTTTATGACTTGTGAAGTGTGTCCTATAAAATTCTGACGTCTCGTCCCAGTTTTTTCCCATCTGGTAGCTGTCTGCGTCTGGCCAGTGGGTCTAAAGTATTTAATATAGGCAGCTGCTAATAAATGCACGCACTTTTTTGGTTCCGTTTGTTTCAGTTATCTGTATTTATCCCGATTATTATTGTCATGTTTTCATTTAAATCAATACCTAATAACTATTAAAATCGACGAGAATTTATTAAATGAGATATTATAGTATGAATGAAGTTTTTGTGAATTTATTTAATTTCTAAGTGGTATTCATCATGAATTTCCGTCACCATTGCAAACTAGGAGAAACAGAACATCTGTTAAACCTTAAGGTTCCGGATCCAATACATAGTACGATCATGGTGAATAATACTGAGGATCCCTTATATATATATATATATATATATATATATATATATATATATATATATATATATATATATATATATATATATATATATATATATATATATATATATATATATATATATATATATATATATATATATATATTAGAAATGAATTTTCTTCACGTATCTCAATATAATGAAATCACTGAACATTTATGTTTCATACTGATATTGGTATCAGTAATTTAACTAATGTCAAACTATCCATTACAAATAACGTCAAGTTTAGTTCATGGACAAGCAATAGACAGACAGAAGTTTCTGAGTAGTAGCAAATAACTTTCATATAGTTACAGTCATCGTTTTATAATGACTATTTTTTAACTTGATAAATTTACGATAAAGATTCTATATCGAGAATCATGTTTCATGACAATGTCAAGTTAGAATGATTAAGCAATGTATCCAACTGATCAGTCTCTTCTTTCACATGTTGCAGGATTTCTTTTCGAATAGAAAATCTAGATTTCATATGCACTGTTTCTGTGATTGGATCGTAAATTGGAAATGTTGATTTTGTAGATGAATTTATGTAGTTTCTAAAAAATAAATGAAAAAGAATGATGAAACGATTTGTAAAGATTGTTAGAAAAATTTAAAAAATGTTTGTTGTATAGTTGTTACGTAATTATGAACTGTTTAAATTTAACTGATAACCATTATTTGTAGAACTTCGTTTATCTGTATAATCATTAATAAATTGACGTAACTTGATAGGTTTATTTGGATTTAGACCAATGCATGTCTACCATAGTATTAGAAAGACTAGTTGGTTAGGCGCCTGGTGCGAGACTGATAGGTCCTGGGTTCGGATCTCGCGGGGTGCGGGATCGTGGATGCGCACTGCTGAGGAGTCCCATGCTAGGACGAAACGGCCGTCTAGTGCTTCCGGGTTTTCCATGGTGGCCTAGCTTCAATTGACTCATGATTTCAATCAGTGATATTAGAAAGACTAACGTATATATATATATAAACTATCCAGATGTCTGTTTAAATAGAAACAATAAGTCATACGTTCAATTATTGAGAGATACGATTATTTATAGTAGATCACGCCTGATAAAAGTGATGAGATATTTATTAGCTAGAAGTATTATTTTTCAGTTTTGGCCGTTGTTATCAGACTATATTATTCGTAAGTCACCTGATATTGTCTCAGTCAATTTTATTACTCATTTACAACCTTCATCTTTTAAATTAATTCAACTTCACATTATTTAGGATTACAAGTTTTTATTAGTCAGGTATGGAGTGCATTATGCTTCTTGTATCTTTTATTTTCAATTCATCTTAGGATATATATGAACAAATAACATTCAACCAAAAATTGATTCGTTAAGTATTAATGTTCAAGCTATAAGACTTCATATAATTAATTTATTGGTTTCTATTTCAAATACAGCCAATGTTCTTTATGTACAAAACATCCTATTATGCTTGGAATATATTTTAATTTATAACCATTAGGTTCTCTTATTCTGTTTCAACAATTCGTCTAATCTCATCAAAATTAGAAGTATTTACTATGGATGATTTTTCTATGTCTATTAGTTTTGAAACTAATTACAGAATGAAAATTAAAATAATATTTTCTCGTTAATACACAATCATACAGAAGTCTTCATTTCTGTTCAGTAATTAATATCATTCTTCTCAGAAATGTAGTGATAAAGACTGGGGTTTGTAGATGATTAATTTCATTTGACAAAAAAGATATCCTTACTGTTAGAGATCTAAATGTAGATGAAAACAAATGGACCACTATTGACTTTACTCGTTTGTTTTTAAAATAAATCATGTTAGTATAAAACATCAAAACTATGAAATAAAATAGTAAGCTAATTTTTTCAATTTTAATAGTTGAGATCATCAGTCACTTGTAGCTAGACGACCATGGAAAACCTGGAAGAACTGGATAGCCGTTTCGTCCTATTGTGGGACTTCTTAGCAGTGCGCATCCACGATCCCTGATTAGAGGACTCACAATAGGACGAAACGGGCATCCAGCGCTTCCAGGTTTTCCATGGTGGTCTAGCTTCAGTTGACTCATGATTTCAACTATTAAAATTACTATTATATCCACAAAACTTCTCCTGATACTAATTTTTTTCAAGTCCAAAGATTGATTTACTGATCCATTAATAGTGGGTTATCCAAGTTGATTTACCGCGAATATTTTCTGTTTTCATGTTGTATTTTATTACAAATGAATGTTAAAACTCTTTATCTGAGTGATGATAATAAAAAGTAAGTAGTTTATCAATTATTATTTTAGGCTGGTAAGTTTTCCAGGTACATGATCTTATACTCTTGACTTCAATCCATACTGTTACATAGTTTGAATAATACCTTTGCTTAATTATTCTTGTTGTAGACAGTCTAACTTGTAATAAAAAGTTTTTCTGATTGATGGTCATATCGTCTTAAATGTAAAATTGTATGTACACTTATGGAGTCGAAAATAACTTTTAAGTATGACATGTTCTATGGAATAAATAGAAAAATAATGCACTTCAGTGGTATAATTCACTATAACAATCTTGTCATTACCATAAGTCGGTTCAGCTACACAATTCATAGAATTATTTGTTTGGCCTTGTTTATCCATTGAATATTTGTAAAGATTAGTACAATCATTCAGTCTGTCATTAAGTGAAAAATTTCCTCATGCTATCTACAATAATAATTATCATGTTCTCACTAGTAACTAAATTTGACACTGATTCCTGGATTTCTAGTGAAAAGCCATGACCGGTGGAATTCAGAAATTTATAGACATCTGTCAGGTATCACAAAAAGCAATATCTGAGATCAACAAAAATTAGAAAGCAGAATCACTAAACCCCGATTCAATAGTCTAAAACTTAAGAGACCTCTAGTAAACTAGTAGGTCTTCTTCACATTCTATGACAATGTTGTCGGTGAGCGCCAGGTTAGTGTACAACATAAGCATCAAAGCAGATGTTACATTTACAGGACCCAAAAAGAAACTGAAACATTCAACCTGTATGAAGAATGTATGTATTAACAGAAATATTGAATGATGCATTGTTAAGTGACTTCTAAGAAATAAACTAACTTGTTTATAATTATTATTTATTGATTTTATCAACAGAAAGTCATTAAATTTCGTTTTATGGTTTCCAGCATCTATAGACCTAATGACCTAAAAAGCTATTCATACTCAATATAAGTCGCTCTACAATTATTCCTTCGGCTCATGACAACATTTCAATTCCAAATTGAGCTAAACCACAGAAAGTCAAACCTTTCTACGAAAGAGAAGGTTTGAAAAACCTGACACGTCGAAGAAACATACTACTTATGAGTGGTATCATATTCATCACTAAACTGTTTATCATTATAATGACCTCTCGATAGATCGTTTTAAAAAGAAAATCAAATAAGAACAAACCGAAGTTCCCGTTTCATTGATTCGATAGATTCAGTTACAAAGTAAACATTTTGATAACCAAAATCATCGTATACTTGTACTGCCGCATTATTTATATCAAAAGGTTGTTTCACGGAGTGGTCACTAAATACATTTTCCAATTCACCATATGATGACATAATTCCAGCACCTAGTGCACGTGTTTCACCATTTTCATTACATAAGCCGAATTCAACAGTAAACCAGTATAACTATAATAAAAAAGATAAGTTTATTTTCAAACAGGTATTGATTTCGAATGATTGTTCAAAAGTATGTTACATTTTTCCATCTTCTGACAGAAGGACTGGATTTGATAAAAAGCTATTCTAACTGTGGAAAGTTCGGCTTCTCAACTAATGTTCTATTTTCTTTAGCATCCTCATTTAGACTTTACCCAAGCATTATGCTTTTATGGACATCATTTTACTTTGTAGACGAACTTTTTGCTACGAGCTGACATTAATTACAGAACTAATTAGAAACCGGAAAACATTGAATAGTTATTCCATTCTAGTTCAGGACACGATAATACTTGATAGAGTCGAACCCTCAGAGGTTATAATGGTCACAGTATCTTTACACAGTTGAGTTAGAATCTAACAGTTCATATCTTCAACTTTGATAAACCCGAGATAAAAGGCGATTCTTTTTTATTGCTATCAGTTATATCTGACTCATGATCGACATGGTTGCCAGTGGTACGTACATTTTGTGATAATTTTAAAGTTTAATATTAATACCAGTCACTAATGCGATCGGAACTAGAAACTGACTTAAATGTTTGTGAGCTGACTAGTTTTTGCCCATAGAAGGATTTGTTGACTGTAGAATAATATTACAAAATAAACTAAAGTATAATATATAGTCAGTCCAGTCAGCTACAACGTAGGACCAGGCACATGTATGCATCGGCCCAGGTTGCCATACCTCATTAGCACAGCAAGATGAACACCGGATTCATAGGAGTGGTTAGGTCAAAGGTGGTAATATATAGGAGAAAGATTGCAATAAGGATATAGTATAGGAAGAAAGAATTAGTTCGTAGAAAGAAAGATGTGAAGTGATCTTAATCTCTTAGTTTAAGAGAAGACAGAGAGTGTATACACCGACGCCATTGTGATCGATTCTGAGCCATGTCACCAAGGGTCTCCAACCATTGGTTACGAAAGTCACGCGGACCCCAACCAAGTAGTCTGCATCTACCAACATGGCTCAGACTAGAAGTTAGTGACTTCAGGCACTGATGCCACGTTTTGGTTTGGCCGCCCCTAACTTTCTTCCAACCATCCCCTACACCGGTTAGCATTGCACGTCGCGGTAATCGGTGTTCAGGCATACGTAATACGTGGCCCAACCATCTCAGTCGATGAAGATTCATAACCTCATCAACTGATTTACCATCATTCCCTAATACCCTGCGTCTAACCTCACTATTACTTACCCGGTGATCCCAGCAGATGCCAGCAATATTTCTAAGGCATCTGTGGTCAAATACTAGTAGCTTACGGGTGTCTTCTACTCTTAAGGGCCATGTTTCGCTGCCGTAAATTAAAACAGAACGGACAGCCGCGCAGTATACTCGTCCTTTTATTGATAGACGGATATCTCGCCTCCGCCAAAGGTGACGTAAGTTGGCAAAAGCCAAACGAGCTTTACGAATCCGTGCTGAGATTTCGTCAGACACCAACCCATTAGGGCTGATCAGACTTCCAAGATAAGTGAAGTTGTCAACACGTTCGACTACTTCACTCCCTATCCTTAGTTCAGGTGTTGACGCAGACCAGTCCTGAAGCAACAACTTGCATTTAGAGGGAGAGAAGCGCATCCCAAACATTCTGGCATTGTTGCTTAGTGCTACCAGAAGACTCTGCATTTTGTCAGCGTCTTCACCAAACAGGACTATGTCATCTGCATATTCTAAGTCGATAAGTGGACCTCCTGGAAGGAGATCAATACCCGAGAATTCAGTCGACGAGAGTGTTATTTCCATCAATAGGTCTATGATGAAGTTAAACAAAAATGGAGAAAGTGGGCAGCCTTGACGGACACCACTTGAGGTTGCAAAAGTAGATGACAGTTCGCCATAAGCCCTGACTCGACTAGTAGTGTTCGAGTAAAGAGCCTTCACAAGGTTTATGTACTTCTGAGGTACGCCTTTCAATGACAGACACTGCCACAGAGTCTCGCGGTCTACAGAGTCAAATGCTGCTTTTAAGTCAAGAAAGACCACCATCGTCTGCTTAGTTAAAAATATAACTATCAAAAGGTACCAATCTTGTCACACAAACATACTGTTCAGTATTCCTTAATTAGGATAAAATAGTTCTCTGATGATTTTTTAGTTATAAGTGATTCTTCAGTCGGTATCATTTCATAGCAACAAATACATTTTTGTACAACATATGCTTTGCACAATATACTAATGTACTTAAGAAAATACTTCTTGTTACATAATTGGATTTGACTGCGTTATGTGAAGTGACGTGTAAATAATGAACCTATACTGTATACTAGTGATGATGATAAAGTAACAAACTCGAAAACTTAAGACTTTTGAGTTTGACACCAGTCATTCTTACAATCTACTCAGCAAAAAGACTAAAGGATGTGTGAAAAAACTTGAAAATAAAAAAATATGCTTTTTAGATAAATACCTTTCCATCAGAACAGAAGTAAAAAACGAGATAAACTATGTTATAGCATTATTTTTGTTCCAGTTTGAAAGAAATGAGAGTTTTTCTTCCTATTAAGTTGCCCTTTTTACTGTCAGTTACTTATGACTTCGTTGTTGTGATGGATTCTGGGGTTTTTGTTTGCGGAATATTTATCGCTCGTTTTGTTTATTTCAGACTAGTTTATTAGGTGGATGTTAATTACCCTATTTTGTACATATGAAATGGCTATTGAGAAGTTCAATAAAATGTATATTTCTACTCTTGATAGAAGAGTAATAATTCACTTATAATCATGAAGATTTCAACTTTCATCTACAAAGTAAAACATCTCGCACAGGTTGGTTAGTCAGTCTTACGCAATAGAAAACCTGGCCCATGTATACATCCGTTTACGTTGCCACAACCTATTAGCACAACCAGATTAAACTGTCAAGACAAATCCCCGAGAAGTAGAGGTAGCAACAGTTTTAGTGGTAATGGAAAAAAAATGATTCTAGAATAAAATATGGATATGTGGGATAAAAAGTTAATAACAATTTAGAAACTTAGGATTTAAAGAAAGACAGTAAATACATCTGCCTCATTGCGACTGTTTCTGAGCCACCTCACTCATTATATCCAACGATTAATTATAACAGTCACGTGAACCCTAAACAGGTGGTTTATACATAATAAAAACACAGCCCAGTCCAGCAGTCAACGCTCTCATTGACTCATAACAAGTTTCCGTTTGGCCATCCCTAGCTCTCTTTCAACAAATTCCTACACTAGCAAATAACACTCTTCCACTGTGGTTTGGCCCACATAATACGTATCCCAATCACTACAATCGATGGACATTCCTTACTTCATCAACCAACTTTCCATCTTTACTTAGTATTCTGAGTCCAATTTCACCATTTCTCACTCGGTGATCCCAACACGCGAGCAACGTTCTGAGGTTATTTTTGAACAAACTCTAATGACCTACGAACATTCTCTGTTTTTAAAGACCACGCTTCATAACTATAAGGTAGAATGGATCGAACTTCCGTGAATTATACTCGTCATTTGGTTGGCAGACGGACATCTCGTGTACTTCACAGGTGATGCAGCTTGTCGAAAATCCGGTGAACTTTCTGAATCCGTGCCAAGATCACGTCAAACACCGACCAACCAATATTCCAAAGATAAATGACGTTAACAACGCGCTCAACAACTTTACCCTCTGTCATTATTTCAGGCATTAGCAATGTCCTGTAGGAATAATTTGGGTTTTGATAAAAAGGAGATCATCCCGTAAGTGCTTGTAATATTGGTTAAGGTGATCAGACAACTCTGAGTCTTGTCAATGTCCTCACTAAAAATACTGTATTACCTGCATATTCTAAGTTGACAAGTGAATTTCTTCGTAAGAGGTCATTCCTGAAAATTCAGACGATGAGATTGTTATCTCTGAGCGAATGTCTATGACGAAGTCAAATAAAAATAGTGAAACCGAACAGCCCTGACGAACACTACTCAAGGTGGTGATTGTACTGGAGTTTCGTTCAGCGAACAAGACCATTAAGCCCGCCACTCGAGATTGACAATCCTGATGTCAGTTCTCCAGAAGCTAATCCTCAGTCAGTAGTGTCCAAATAAAGGTCGTACGAGGTTAAAATACTTCTTCGGTACGCTTCTCCGTGAAAAAAATAGTCGTAAAACCTGTCGACCTAGGGAATCGTAAGCTACATTAATGTAAAGAAACACTACTGTGGTTGGAGATCGGTAGGTTTTTCTGTGTTCCAGAACATGATGAATGGCGAAAGTCTGTCTGAACGTCCATCCATGTTTGATTTTCACAAGTCTCAGTTAGGCGCTGAAGGATTCTGGAGACAATATTTTTGACACTATATTAGCTGAACTTATTTTTCTGTAGTTAACACAAAAGGAGTCTTTTTTCTTTCTTACAGACTAGAATAACCATATATCGACACAAGTCAGGTGGGATCATGTTCACTTCCCAGACTCTAGCCAAATATTTTAGCCAATCTAATAGCTAAAACAGGATCATCACTCTTTAAGATCTCTGAGTTTAACCCATCAAACTCTAATCGTTTTTTATCACTGAATATTAACTAAGGTCATATTTACAGATAGATAGAACTCGATCAACACTAACGAGTAGACATATATGATCTCGAGAACTATTCTGTAAGTAATCAGTTGTTAGTATACCAATCAATCATAAGGGAGTAATTCTCTAGTTTTGATGAAGAGTAACATAGGTTTGAACCTAACAGACAGAATCACTTCCGTTAAGATATAAACACCTCTCAGTTAATTAGGGTCATCTGGTACGAAACGTAAATTTAAGGATTTATCTAAACACTGAACAATAAAATATTACGAAACATTCATTAAATTAATGTACTTACTGTTGATAGTCTCATAATTTCTTCTTCAGAAGCTCCTAAAGATGCTAAACCTAGTTCTTGAGAAAAGTCAGCAAATTTTCTATTTACTAACATAGGCATATGACCAATGAGTTCGTGAATGCAATCCCTAAATTGATAACAAATGATGTAAGTTATTTAATTTTATAAAACCATGCATTTATAAAAACAATTGGTAGATGAATGCCATATCGCGTGCGAAAACGAAGGTGTTGGGTTCGAATTTCACGTGTGGGATCGTGGACGCGTACAGCTGCGGAGTCTCATACTGGGATGAAATAGCCTTCCTATGCTTCCAGGTTTTCAATGGTAGTCTATCATTGATCGGTTCATGATTTCAATGAAATATCATAAGAGTTGCCATATTGTTGCCTCTATTTCAATAAAACCTTTTTGAAACCATGGTGTCATTTATAAAGCAGATTCTTATTTTACACCGATGTTTTATTGTTACCTACTCACTACATTAGAACATCTAGTGTCTGTTTGTAATAAGCTATATTTTGAATAATATACTATTCTTACAAAAGAACCTACCGTTATTATCACTAAGAGCTTAGCCTTTATTAAGATTTTAAAATACTTATCAAACAAAAACTGGTCGTCTTTACTTGTAGTATGAAAGAATTAAATTTCATCAAAAAAGTTATTTTGTTTGCAAAACTTTTGAAAACGATTAAGATTAATGTATCACTATTGTCTGTGAAATAACTATTAACAGAAACATGTGAGAATTCCCCATGCTCGTCTAAATAAAGTTACTGTATTGAAACCAATCGTTTTGATTGTTTATACAGAAATTCCGTTTTCTGGACCTTACATTTCCATTTTGGTTAAGTCTGTTCGTGTCAAGTCCCGTTGACTTGTGTCTACATGTATCGTGGTCTAGTGAAAGCCGGTGAAGAGGTAAGTAGAAATATGAATGTTATCTGTTAGTGTCATCAGTTTTCAGATTTTCTTCTATAATCTTTAAATTCTGAAAACAACTGTTATTGTGTGCAAGCGATTGGCTCTTGCAATGGTTAGCAATATAGCTGTTTATGTGTAATTGTTTGTTTATTTTTGGTCTTGGTTTTGTGACAGAAATGTTAAATAGTCTGTATTCTGAATATTGACCAGCAGAAAAACGATTGATTGACTACCATTAGATTTGTCAGTAATATTTTCTGAAATTTGTATTTACAATTATAATTCATTTAAATATTGCTAATGTAAACTTACGGTTCTGGTGTATGCATAGGACGTGAATGATGACGTATATATTGAGTACATTGAAATACTCTAAACGCTAAACTTGCCAAGAAATCTCTTGGTGAAACTAAACCAGCAACAGGTCGAATACGAAATCCTGAAGTACCTACAAGGGAAAAATAAATTATCCAATTTAACAAAATTGAAAATTCTCATAAAAATAGATATGGTCGTTGTTTAAAACAAATCAAATAAAAAATCTAATAACTTTCATTACTAGCAAGTAGCTTCGATGGTTTGGAATATATGTACACAATTCTAAATGTAAATGCCCAATGGTTTTAAAAAGAAACTATGAGAAATAAATTCATTTTGTATTGTCTGTTTGAATTTTCCCGTTGATGTTTAGGACTGCAATTGATTAGTCTCTTATTGGCATATGTGCATCCTGTGAGAATTGCCTCGATACTGCTTTAATTCACAAGCATTATAAGCAAAGATAGATGGTGACTAGCAGTGGAATCCAAGGTGCGCGTTTTGTCCTATTTGAGAATCATCAGATGGATGTGCCTGTATCCCAAAGTTGATGTTGATAACTCAATGGCGTTTGAATCAACCGGTACTAGATTCGAGTCTCGGAATGAACACCGACTCTAGAATGCAGGAAAATTCGGCTGACGAGTCCAAAATGGGAAGAAATGCGCATCCTTGCTTCCAATACTAGACATCATCCATTTGTGCTTAATATGAGTAATACAGTCACGAAACTACACTTTTGGCTGAACAACTGGATTTTTTTTATGCAGAATAACTGAAGACTGGTTAAGAAAACTAACTACTCATTTAATCTCTCTTTACTCAAACTTACTGTAAGTAGAGAAAATATAATAGTTATTTTGGACAGATATGATACACGATTCAAATTTCGACACAAAAATGAAAACTATTTAAGTTGAACTAGAGGTATCCTATGCAATGAAATGTAGACATTTTGACTTATTTCAGTATTTCGATAATGTAATAAGACGAAGATTATCGTCTTCTTATTACATTATCGGAATTTATCAAAGGGACTAATTGCTTTAAATTATTTTAGTATGTCTTTAACCTATCTTGAGTAGTTAGGAGAGCTATAAACATTCTGGTTGTTACTTGTCAGTAATGTTGAACTTACACTTATGCCATCCATTAACATGGTTCAATTAACTAGATAATTCGGTATAGAATATTATTATGTAATTAATCATGAAATAATTTCATTCAATGCGATTCCGAAATGATTCAACGTATTTGATATTAATTATGTCGTTGGTGTATCAGTGTGCATTGCAACAGAAACAGTGTAATTAATGTATTAATGATTACTCGAAATGAAACCTAAACTTTCGAATTAATCCTATCAGTTTTTCTGAGTATCACATTAGTATTAATATAATTTAGGAAAAACTAACCAAACAGCCGAAAATTTATGAAAATTAGAAAATGAATAGCTCTGTTTAATCACTTTTGTTTGTTTAAATTAATTAATTCTTATGTATCAAAACTATTTTACTTCATAATTCCAAGTAAACTGAGCATTTGGCGGAATGTTAGTCATAAGGTATAAAATGTTTCAATAGGCTCCTCTAAATCTACACCTTAATTTACGAGCGTTTTAGGTCCTGCATCGGTTCTGATACGACAGTCATATATATATCAAAAGGGATTTTCGTGGATATTATAGTAATTTCAATAGTTGAGATAATCAGCCAACTGAAACTAGACCACCATGGAAAACCTGGAATCACTGAACGACCGTTTCGTCCTATCGTGAGACTCCTCAGCAGCGCGTATCTACGATGCCTCCTCGCGAAATTCGAATTCAGGACCTATCGATCTTGTGCGCGAACGCTTAACCTCTAGACCACTTGGCCGGCATCCAACGGTGTTAATGTCTGACTTCAACTAATCCACGAAATTGAGCGACACATCCACCATTGTCATCAGTGAGTTACTATCTCACAACAGACTTGGTTGAACTCCACTGGTTACTGCTTCTCATATATAAATGATAATTTTTTATAGAAAAGCATGCCGCTCATGATATATGTGAATTCCATAATGATTAGGTCAACTTAATGACCATGAATTAAGTTCCACCCTCAAGAAACATATAAGATCAATTTATATCTGTCAAGCTGTAAAGTAACGAAGCTAAGTATTTTCATCATGTTACTATTCTTTTAATCGTTAATTAGACGTCTTTTTTCTAAAAATATACAGGTTTCCAGAACCAGTCTTAGGATAAATAAAATAAAATGAGAAACTTTTCCATTTACTTTTTGTTACAGTTTTGCAAAACTTACGATGCATAAATTCGCAGATTGTTTGCAGTTGGGGTATGCTTTCAGAATTGTAATTACAATATTTTTCTAAGAGTTGAAATCCGTCAATATATTCTCTGCATGCTCTTGAAGCATGAACAGCTTTCATTTTTGTGAAAACCAAGCCCCTATATTTGCAAAGTTTTAAAACATATCAAGGTAAGTCAAAAGTTTATCATGATACTAGAAGAAAAAGTTGTCACCAAAACATGAGATATAATTTCGTGTCATATGTTGTTTGTCTATGACAATGTCATTTTAGGAAAAAAAATTTATTTAATGCAATTTTATGGCCACACCTTGTCAATTATGTCTTTACCAAAGATATTGAAAGCTTTCACTTAAACATTATTCACCCTTTATACGCTATAATAATTGTTGAGTATCACTGAAATCTCTTTAGATTAGTCGTTGTTAGTTTTTTCAATAATAGGGAGAGGCCATTATTATCTTCAGTACAGATTATAACAAATTGATTTTCGTGGTATTAAGTAGTTCTTAGACGATATTTCACACCAAGCAATGACAAATGAATAAATACTGAATTACAATGAGAGAAATATGGTTTAATAACGTCACCAGGGTATGGTTCTTAATGAAATCACTACCTGAACAACAACTCCCCAAGTCCTTAGAATATTGGTTTATTATAAGGGTGTAATTTCGTTGAATCAAGCTTAATCAACAAAATTTCTGTGTGTGCAGTTGTCTACACTTACGTCTATAATGTTAATTGAAGGCAGGATACATGTGTGCAAGCGAAAATTGTTCGGGTTTAAAATTTTTCATTAAATAACCGAAGTTGATAAATTAACATGTGTCCTCTCTGCGCTTTTCCCATTTCGTTATAATAATTTCTAATTAAACGATTTAAGGAAAGGAATTAATTTTGGAGATAATTTTCCCATTTATTTAATTATCTAAACATGCCCTGTTCATTGGAAACATAAAGGGTTATAAACTTCATTCTATGGACATTAGTCAGTGGTCACTGTCGAGGAGTTTCACATTAGAACGGAACACTTATATCAAAGCTTCTTGATCAGCCATCGTGTTTTATGTAACTTCAATTTACTATAAGAGCTTGAATTTAAGAAGTTCAAATCACACAGTCTTATCAATTTTAAAAAAAATCACGAAACAAAGACATACTGAGCCATTCTTCTCAATCCTTTTTTCAACAGATGTCATATTTTGATAAATTGTGACTATGACGAATTCGTTATATTGTTTTACTTTTCCTTCAGCCGCATACAAGCTAATAAGTTTAATTATTTCCAAATACTGACATAATTTAGAGTTTTAAAAAATAAACTGCCTTTCAATAAAACGTTTACAGGGGTCATTTATAGATGTTTGAAGTGACATTTTAGAGTATTTAAGATTATTTTATGAATGTAATGAAACAGAGGAGTCTCAGAAATAAAAGGACATTTAAGTTGAAATGATGGTTATAATTAATTAAAGAATGAAGAATTTAAATTATCGGTACGTTTACTAAGCAGCTGAAAGTTAACTACTAGTTCTATTTCAAAAACAAAGATCAGAGTGAGACTATAATTTATAGACGACCTTTGAGCTTCAATAAAGCGGTCTTGAGAATGTCGACTTACTTGCTAGCACTAAATGATAGTTATTAATATTTGTGAAAAGTAAGGATCATGATTTACAATTGATGGTTAAGGTTAGGAATTAGATTTAAATTTTTCATCAAAAACTGACAATGGCTAAAATACCATAATGCTCTTTAGCCAAACGAATGAATGAATTTCGCACTAAAATCCAAGACTTGTTATCTTAAACCCGTTTTGGTTCGTCCAAAAATTAGAGTCTCACCAAGATCAGATTTGGGCCTTCTAGTCGCAGTCACTTCCTCGAATTTGAATAAGATAGAGTTAGATTATATAGTGATTAGTCTGAATCCGTTTACTATATCCACCTAAAGTGCCTTATCCATCTGGTAGAGCGATATCAAACGAAGAAAACTACTTTATCTTCAGATACATACATATTTCGAATTATTTTCAATAAAATGTACAGTAACCTGTCTTTTTATACTTCCAATGTGCATGGTTTTGCATGTACATCTAAACTAATATGTGCAAATAACCTCTGTTTGTGTTACTGGGTACTAATATATATTTATTATGTCACACATATTTTTATATTTATAAATAATCGTAATTGTTCATAATTTTCTGCTGTTGATGTTCTAAATTGAACCATATTACAGTTATTCCCAACACCAGGAGGTACATATACCTATGCGATCACAATTTATATAAAACATGCACACTAAGTTGCACAGTCAGTCATTTATCAAAATCCAGTCAGCTTGTAAATGTTAACAGTAACGTGTTATCCACTTATAAGGCATTTTACATCAACAAAAATTAGCTTAATTCAGTCATGAAATTGATTGTACCAATGATAAACTGATTGATTAGAAAAAAAACCATTTAAATAATAGGCTCGTTACTATACCATATTAAATATGTACACTGCTTTGCAACTATACCCATAAAAATAATCTTCTAAGTGAATCATATAAATTAAACTGGTGAGCGACAAACGCCGTTTACAGTAGACAATTATTAATCATTAAAACCTTGATCTAAAGACTTCTGGAACAGACCTCCAAACACCAGACATGCAATAAAATTTGAAGATACATGGCTGAGTGAAATTATTTGAAAAATAAATGAAATTAAACTGAGTAGTTTTTAGCAATCTTATATTTTAATTAGCTTATTCATCTTGGTGATTAATTACACCTCAAAATTCTTAATGAGTCACGATAAGTCCAGTTGAAATTTCAAAGAGTCCATCAAAATACACTACGTTTCAACCTATTACAACACCGTTTTCTTGAGATAACCGGTTATTTGAATAAATTCTTAGTTTACTTTTGTGCAATTTTCAAGTGATGATAATAACTACTATTAAATGATACTAACTGAAACTTTCTTTATATTCGGTTTAAAGAAAATAAACTATCATTAATACACATCTATAGCTTAATATTCCTTTCTATTTCACTGAAATAACTAGTGGTACATTACTTTGTTAATTATTAAGATTTCAAGTGTTATGATTGTTGGGTCGTCTTCCGGAGAACTTCAATGGAGCCTCCAGAGGCCCAAAAGGAGCCGAAGAGTCCTAGCCAATCAGAGTATGATGGAACGTTCGAGAATTCCAGCGTGGCGTGCTACCATTGGTCGGTAGCACAATATGACGTTAACGGATTGGCTGAAATAAGATGTTGATTTAACAGACGCCGACATCTATAAATGCCCTTGATTTTCTGTACTAGAATGAACCTTGGAATAAAGTGTTTTCTCTCATACTTGTGTCTTCTCTCTGGAGTTCAAGTCGCTGCGTAGTTCTAGACTGCGGGTTACCGGAATAGCTCAGGATTCGTATATAGCGTTCAGCCTACACGACTTGTCAATGATTACTATCGTTATTTTTGTTTCAAGTTTCTTATGTTTTTGTGTTGATATTTCATTAAAAACAAAGCTGATGCTCACCAAGTTTCAATTTCTTCTTTGGTATATTCAACTTCAGGTATACGATCACCACTGAACATGTGAAAAAAAGCAACAACATATAAACGGGATAATATTTCTCCCATTTGTATAAATAAATTAAAATATTCATATTTGTTATAATATTACAATATGCTGAGATTTCCATTAACTCAAAAGAAAATATCAACAGACCTACCAAATGAATGAGGTAAAAGTTATTCGGAAAATTTTTTAATAACATACATTTTTTTAAAAAAAAACATCAGAAATAAGAAATACAGCTTCATAAAAGCGGTATATTTATCTGTTCAATTGTTACTGTGGAGCCATTTACAAACGGCGTACAAGGTGACAAGTTCATCATCATATTTTTGAACATAATCGTATATAAATGGAAGAAGTACGAAGAAGATCAATAAGACCTATCTTTACATACTCAGTTCAAATAAGTCATCCAATCGATATAAATGGAGTTATAGTTGGAATAATATACAATTCGCTCTGTGCTTATATATGTCATCTTCTACACATCGCATAAACCATAATAATCCACTTAAATGAACATGGATACTTCACCCAGAAAACGTACTTACGGCCTTGCTTCCAACACTGGCTAGTTGTATAATTGTCCTTTGATTTTTCATCTCAATTCTTGTGTAACTATTTGGAGCAATCAAACCGTTTCTGAACACAAACATAAGTTTTCCTACGTTTATTCTTAAGCACTCAGTTTAATGTATAATCAATTGTATTAGTTTACCTAGCAAGGAAACTCTTGAGATATAAAGATTCATTGAGTCCAAATTGTGAAACTGTATACTTTTGTCATTTACCTAAAGCAGAAGATTGTTCTAGTTCAGCATTTTAAAAGTCTTGAGGTTAAAAGAACGAATGTTAGCTAAATTCTCCGCAGAAGTGTTTCTTGCTAAGGTGATCGCAATGTAGATTAGTGAGTGCAGCAAACCATAGGTTAAGAGAAGAATGATCACTGGACATTTATACTATGACAATATATAGAATAATAAATAGCTTGTTTTTCACGTCATTCTAGAAAAATTTGTACTTTACTGGTCATAAATTTAATTTATTACACTCAGGTAAAAACAAAGAAGAATAGGTTCGTTGTTCGTAGTTGCATAAAGAATCATTCAAATATTAACAGGTACTCTTAGTTAGTGAGTGACTACTAGCACGAAACTTGGCTTCACTGTTTTCTGTCTATTATCTACAACAACCTAACATAGTGCATACGATATTACATCATTTAAAGTAATGATCACACTGCGGTTTGACAGATAGAATTCGGTCAGCACTGAATAGACATATATGACATTGATTACTATTCAGAGAGTCAGTTTTACATTAGAAAATTGTTCATCTTCCACGGAAGACAGTTGAAACAGAGTATACTGCAACCTTTTAAATTCCGCCTGTAACTCTTCCAGGGTTCACTGGAGAATGCTAGTGGGAGGCCTATACTCTTCTACGAGGGGTAACAGGCGTAAGTAAGTAAGAAACCTCTTACAACTTATCTAATATGCAATATGATAATATTATCTACAAAAGTCAACCGTCATCATGCTGATAAGCAGAAATATAAGAAGTAAAAATAAGTTTATAAAAGTTGACATTTAATACATGTAATTTTAGATAGTTTACATTCTTGGTAAAATTATAATTATTCAACTAGATATATTCAGTTGAAATGAACAACTTACTATTTATAATGAAATGCTATTTTCGCTATATTTTCTCGTCGTTCTCTGTAAACTTTGTCATGAAATCCCTATAAATAAATTAATCCGATAAAACTCTATCTGTCAAGATTATTCAATAATCAGAGACATTATTGGTTGGTTGTCACATGCCTAAAATAATATTATTTTTAAAGATTAATACAATAGTACCACAGAAGAAAATGGTTAACCTGTCAGCAATGGCAGTGATCTGAAAAACGTTTTTTTTCCTCAGAAGTTCAGCATCACATTGTAAGTAGTTTGTGTGACTCTATATAACCTATCTGACAATTATCTACGAATTTTCGCGCCTAATAATTTGCATTTAAGAAGATGGTTTCCATCACAAAATGATATCAATTGAAGAATTATTGAAAACTAAAGATCGATAAACATCCATTCGTTTTTAATGTAGGATTCTTCAGTAGTACACACTTTTGATTCCACAACTTGATTTGACTGTAGGTAACTCATGGCAATAAAAACCTTACGATCTGAATTGTAAACTAACCAACTATTATAAATAGAGCCAGTAATTGACAGTAAAATAATGGCAGCAAGAACTGTCTCATAAGTTTTCTGTTGTTAAGAGTTGTAGAATACATAATGTGAATTTGCTGTTTTTCTACTGATTTCGTCCTATGATGGGGCTCTTCGAAAGTGCACCTACTACTGCACACTGTCGTGACCCTGAGTGTACCTCTGTCTAGCACGACATTCATTCGGAGCTCAAGGAATCACAAATCAGATTACGTTAGGTAATTCAGTCTAAAGAATCACGAAATATGCATGTGAAGACTAATAAGACTATCTTTTGAACTACCTCATGCTATGTATATACATCAGTGTTGAATAGATTATTAACTAGTTTCAAATTAGAGCTTATCAAAATTTTGAATGCCATTCGTGCACAGTCAGTTTTCTGCAAGTATTTATTTCATCTGCTCATTATTACTGTATATAATTCTTTTTTTTAGAAAGAACAAAGAATTCTACATATTCATAACACGTTGATCATAAGTATAAGAACAGATGTAAACTAATATTCCAAATAATTAATTCAATTATACTAAAGTTTTTTAGTTTATAATTTAAATTCTTGTGGCTATTTTATTTAAATTCAAAATGTTAGATTACAAGTGCGGGTATCTGTATAACTTGAGTTAGTAATGGGGAGTTAAAGGAAAAAGAAAATAATGGTACTTAATATATAGACTTGTCGAGAAATGGAAGCAGACATTTAAAAGGATGAATAGCAACTGCAAAGGATTGCCCAGAACAGAGTCGGATAAAGAATGCTGGTGGGTGACTTACGCTCCTCCCTGAGGGGTAACAGGAATGAGTGAGTATTATATAGGCTTATGTTCTATAGATAACAAAATGTCCATTAAAGTTAATTGTTAAATAATGACTGATCAGAACTATGATATTGATTCCATGAAATAAATTATTTTTATTTTCATATATATTTTGACATACAAATAGACTTAGTCGTTGAATACTTCATAGATATTTAAAGAAATTCCTTAAATATATTGCTTATGCAAATCATCTTGATATTTAATACCTAGAGATTATCATTTGAAATATTTGACACAATTTTATTTTGCAAGACTTTGTAATCACTTGTTGTTAATGTTATAAGTTGCAGTTGATCAATCTCCACTGATATATTTAACTTTACTAAAACCCGTAAAAAATGGCAACATCAAGGTGATATTCTTAAGATGGAGAGTGATTAGCTAAGGTCCATCATACCGATAACAGGAAGGTAAAAATTCCTAGAGACAAATATATATATATTGGATTATTAAGTATTCATCTGAACTCGGTAGCTCAGTGGATAATGGATCGAGGCTTAAAACAAAAGGTACTGGGTTCGATCCTCAGTGTACACATTAATTATCAGATCCAAACACATCTATCTAATGAATCCCAGTAGGATGAAACAAGTAACCTGGATTCTAATTCAAGCTGTTGCTTGGACTTGACAAATAGCCTTTATTTCACATTAATGTAACAAATATTCCATTTGAGAAATGAGGATGGAAATTTCATGATTATTACACTATTTGTATTGATCATTGTTAACAAATTCTTTTACCACTTCAGAAATTGCCAGCTTTAGAAATAGAAAAGAAATTAACAAAACTTACTGGATGATCAGTTTGTAATTCAGGTTGAAATTTAAGCAGTAGATGTTGACATTTATCCAAATCAGAAATGTGTTTAGGATACCAATCTTTTAAATCGAATTCAAAAATATATTTGGAAATATTAATAAATACAAAATTACTTCTTCATGCTTTCAGTTTGTTTTGGTGGAGTTTTGTTCTCTGAGATGGATGGTTTGGTCGTGGAGCTTTCATCCAGCTCAGAGAACAAAACTCCACCAAAATCATCTATATACCTAAATGAAACTTTTTATTTTTCTTATAATCAAATGAAACTAATTATTAACTAAAGTCGATTAGTTAACATAAAGAAGACGAAGAACAAGAACACGAAAACATCTCTACCTGGTCAAACTTTAAACAGTTGACTGAAACATTTATTTTAACTATAACGAACAGATATCTTGAATAACAATATAAAAATGTTGAAATCAATAAATGAACTGTATTCTTAGAGATAACTGAAGTTTTCAACTGTATAACTGTTAAGCGTTATTCAGGACTAAAAAAGAATGTTCACTATGCAAGGGCTTTCACCATATAAATGTTTACTGGTAGTAAAAAAATGTAAATTAGTCAATAATTGACTTAACAGTCTATTTAAACTATTTTCCACAACAGTAGAACCACTTGAGTTTTAATCATTCGAATTTATTCTACGATATAATAAGTATAAGACAGGAGGAAGCTTCAACGATTTTACTCTTCAAACGATATCAACTGTTTAGATTCAAAAGGAACAATATCCTGGGGTTCTAGCACAGAACTACCATCCTATATTCTATTAAACAGTTATTAGATAATACTCCCTCATTTAGCTGGTATTAGGGGAATGAGCATTTGAAAAAAGGAAAGAATACGATTGTTTCTGACCTTTTTACAAGAATAAAGCCAGAGTTTAAAATATCTAAATACGAAATATCTGGACTCATTTACAAACTGCTTTATCAAAACGTCTACTTAATGGTTTATTCAAAATGACTACAGACATCTACCCGATAAAATGTGCTTTTTGTCCAATCTCATGGATTTCGTGAGCGTACAGATGTGATAAGTCCTAAAGTAGAACAAAACATCGATTCACTTCTCTCTATTTTCTCATGTGATTTAAGTTGACATAAGTTAATGATGAAAACTTTGTTCACATTAATTCAATCAAGTGAATCAACAATTAGTGAAATAATTCAATGCTGTCACCGAAATTTTTTACTTACATTGAGATTCTTGATTATTTGGTAAATTTATTCTAGAAACAAAACTGTTGCACCGTAATTCTTCGTACAATAAATTCATATTTACTTCATTTGTTTCCAAAGTTATTAAACAAGAATATTGAATGTCTTGGTTTGCATTGGATAAAGTTAAAGGTGGTCTCGTTTCAAAGTGTACAAGATCCAATTTCTAAAATAAAGTGGTTAGTTTGTATAAATGTACTTCAGACATGAGAAAGTAGTATAAAGACTGATGGGAAAATGACTTTATTTATGAGTTTACCTTGTTTGCCTAACATGAATTTAAATTAATTTTGTCAACATGAGTTTTTCTAAATATACAGTAACATGCTTTATTGTTGTTTGATACGCTTCAGTTTTTGTACACTTTAATGGTTCTGTTGAATTTAGATCTAGTGATCAATCCCAAACATCTTTTTATCATTAGTTATCTAATTTCTTTTCTTTGAATCTGAGTCGACTAGCTATTCGGGCAACTAATGACTACTTGACGTACTGTAAAGTTCAAATTCCACAGGGAGTACAAGTTCCTTCAAGATTATAATTAAATCTTGCTGGTAAGTATCGGCAAACAAGAAACTTAGATCCAGGGTATATTGTTAATATCTGTAATCAGTTAACTTCTCAACAGTACGCACACGATATCAAATCATTCAGACTAGCAGCCAAATTGCAATTTGATCTATAGGATTTGATTAACACTACAGGATTAGACAAACGTAATAACGGTAACTACTCAATAATCAAACAAACAAACATGAGTTTCATTATTCAGAAGTAATAACGAGTCGTTTTTTTAAGTAGAAAGTTATTCAATAATTTATTTCATCAGTCAATTGAAGCTATACCATCATGAGAAACCTGGAAGCACTGAATGGCCGTTTCTTCCTATTGTGAGACTCCTCGACATTGCGCATCCACGATCCTGCCCGCGCGAGATTCGAGCCAAGGATATATCAGTCTCGCGCGTGAACTCTTAACCTTTAGGCCACTGAGACGGCATCCAACGGTGTCAATGCCTAACTTTACCCAATCCACGAAATTACGCCACTGTTATTTAATATAAGAACAGTAATCATTGTTATGTAATGAATATATCAGAAAAATACTAAAAGAATAACAACACTTACCTTATCAGTTATACATTTCAATAATTCTTGCAAAGCTTGTAAATAAAATTGATTATTAGATTTTTCATCAGTTATTGGATGAAAATAAATAATAATTGAATGTATTTCACTGTTTTTTTCATCATGATCTAATGTTTTATTCATAGAATGTTTCAAATTTAGAACTCACTTAATTCAGTAGTTAAAGGTTTGTTATTGTTTTCAATGCTTTTGTCACACATCATAAGCATCTTCAGTTTATCTAGAAGCATGAAACACTGATACCTTATTTCATAGACATTACAACTTAATATCATCTTGAAGGAAGTATAAGATTACTTTTTCTACTAAATAATCCTCTATATTGTTATGGAATTTATTAAATGACTTCACATACTGTGAATAATTCTTATTTCTATATGTTTATATTTTAACAGAAATAGGTTCAATCCCTTTACTTAAAAGTTGCCTAAACATATCTCTTAATCCAAAAAAAGTATCATATCCTTTATGATATGTGTATTAGTTGGATTCTATTTTCATTTACTATAGTAAATAAAAACTATAATGAGGAGCAATGACTGTTTAAAACATTTGTGTATCATAATGACAACAAATAAATGCATCAAGGATGATTAAATACCTGAGTTTAGGGAAATATTTGGAAATTTTAATAATTACTGTAGTGGAATTAGTGAACTCATCAAAAAATCAAACTTCTAAGTTATGAAATTGTTCTTACGATGAGAAAAGAAAGTTTTACGCTTAGATTTCAAATGTGCCCGCTCATAAAATAAACCGATCAACGATAAATTTCAATAGTTATATATAGTATTTGATAATAGTAACTTTTAAACCAATCAAATTCTAGTGGGATCTTTCGCCTATGTAATTTGAATAATTTTGTCGGAAGTGTACATACTTTAATAACCAATCAGGATTGCAGAAAAGTATAATACAACCGGCATAGTCAGCATTTTGTTCATATTTTAAATGGGTTCCTAAATTTCAACTTTTTTAAAAAGTTAAGAGCTAAAAGTTCGCCAAAGACTTCCTTTATTGTTTTTTTGAGTTGATTTGAGGGATAACCGTATTCTTCCTATGGATAATGTCAGTTTGTGATAACATCTGTATTATGACTGTATAATGTAGTATATATCATTGAAATTAATAACTGCGATAAGTTTCAGATGGATAATCTGTCAAAATAAATATAAAAAGTGTTACATCAGTGAGATAGTTTATGTGATTAATGTGACTTATTCATGAATCTGAGATAAATGCTCATCCTTTTCTATTGTCAAACATATCGTTGAAACAGATCATAGGATTTAACTGAAAACAGCTTTTGCGATGTTGGTCTGCTGTTTATTTGAAGCTGATATGTTAATTTGTTTAGACCTTAGCTAAGTAAAACTTTTGTATTAAAAAGTTGTTTGTACCTACCTACCAACCATAATTAAGGGATGGGAAGTTGGTTGGAGAACTTAGAATTCAACAAATAGGTAGGAGATTCGAAACCTGTTCCATTTACTTCGTTTGAATAATCAGATAGTATCATTAGCCTCCAAGACAAAATTGTAGCTTAGGACCAAATAAAGATTCGACATTGTCTCGATATCTGTTACTCAGTTTATCAGTAATGTAATTGTAAGAACGTTCACACATCATTGCAAATTAGGGAATGGAGTCTTTAAACTACACATGGTGCTCTAAAACACATTGTCCAAATCGATTAGGAATATAACTGGAATAAAAACACCAGCTACCTGAAGGTGCATGGACATGCATTAACATCAGACCACGCCACAATCTGCTCTAGAGACCCAGTTAGAAGTCTCATGTTACTCTACCTCTAAGTGTAATAGAACACGGCTGTCCTACCAACCATCATCGTTTTCTTTCTTATTTACTTCCTGGTCATTTCACTGAAAGATATGCGGTTGCCAGTAACATCCTATTTCCTCGTATCTAATCTCTCTTTGACTTCATTACAATTTACAAACGCAACTTAATTAGTTAACTGAACTAATCGATATTCAATAAATATAATAAATCTGAAGTGAATAATGGCAATATGTTTAAATGGTTACTTTCATGAGTTAATAAGTAGTTAAAATCTTTGATCTCACTTTTCATATTAGTGATATAAATAAATTCATTATAAATTTATATCAACATTAATTTGATGAAATTTATAATAAATGATTCCATTTACGGACTACGTGAATTTCGTTAAGGTAAATCTTTCTTGCCAGAATTCTTGTAGTAAACAAAACCAAAGAGAAGATGGATGGTGGAAGCAGTGGAGTCCAGTTTGACGCGCGTTTCGTCCTATTTGGGACTCGTCAGCTGGATGTACCTGCATCTCACAGTTGGTGTTCACTCAGGGACTCACACTCAGTACCGTCCGCTTCAAAAGGCACTGCGTTATCCGCTTAGCTACTGAGTCCTGATGGCCACTAGCTTGTGCAATGAGGTGAAGTTTTAATTCATTTTTGTATTGGTTGTTCGAATCTTGCCATTGGTGTTTAGGACTGCAACTTGGAGGCAATGGACGGCCGTTTCGTCTCATTGTGAGACTCCTCAGCAGTGCGCATTCACTATTTTGCCCAGCGAGATTCGAACCCAGGACTTATCGGTGTTGTCTAAGTAAACAGTTGTTTGAATTAATCTCCAAGTATTCTATAAAAGTTTACAATACTGTTAACTAGAGTTAGTGTAATGTATACATTAAACTATCATCAACACTATGTCAAACTTATATTTTAGCAAAGGTATTATTACCTTTGAATCCTCATCAATTACAATTCAATATGAAGTTAGGCTTTTTGTGTTACAGACTGTTATCAACTGAGGAAAGTTTTTTATATACCAGACAATTCTTTTGTTTTAGCTTCTGAATACACAACTGATTTCACTTACGGTCTCATCTATAGAATTAAGATATCGCGTGATGAATAAGTGAACGTTAGACATCTGAAACCCCAACCAAATGCACATATTTCCGACTACACTGAATCCACGATATCATCATCATCATCATTAGATCTTCGATATTGTCTACTTCATTGCCTGCACGGTCGAATTTCACCCGTCAAGACTTCTTATTTAGGGCTTCGAAAGTACTGATCGAAGTTTAGCATCGATGAACAACTGAGTACTATTAAAATGCGGGGTTTATGAAAATTGGTTCATTCAAATTAAATTAAAAAAACAACGAAGTTAAACTAAACGCTTTTATGCGTCAGGATATTTTTTAACATTTCGACAGATGTTATTCCAAAGAGATCACCTTAAAAAGCTAAATAAATTTCTCTACCGAAGTTTAAATCTCTAAGACAAGTTTAAAATACTTTTAAGGGATACATGCATAAATAGACAAGCTTATTCCGCATGGTTTATTGCTTATCATCAGTTCAAATATCACTAATAAATATAAAAAAAGGAAATACTCAGGAAACGACTATGTTCAATTGTAACTTTGGCATTTATTTATTTCTTTATTCACTGAATCTTAAACAAGAATTACGATGAAAAAAACTCCTTGTCTTTTTGTTTCTTCTATTGTTATTATTTTCGAAAACTATTTCCTCTCGTTTCATTCAATGCATGTAATCATAGATGTTCGTACTACTTTCGTTGTTTACTTATCAAAATAAAAAGTCGTTTAGATTGTTGTTTTCCTGTAGATAAAATAATTATTGATGAAATAAAGAAGAATATGTATAGGGGATTCTGATGATAAGAAATAGACTTTTAAGGGTTGTACTTATACATAGTATTCCTTGACGAGAATCCTGATCTCTAGTAGATAACTAAATACATTTGAGGTCCTGTGAAACTGATAATATTGAGTTAGTTATCATACATCGCTTCATTTACCTCTTATCTCCACATTTTATTTATTAATTATTGGAAGGGGTAACAAGAAATCTCAGTCCTACAAGAGATTATTTAAAGCCCAAACAGCTTAGTGTTAACTTTTCAGAATGTGAATTTGAGTGAAACGGGTTCGAGTCAAATAGTGGGTATCAGTTCCGTTAAGATCGTAGATATGCCACATGGGGCCTAACAAAGGTCAATTCTTAATGTAAACTATGAAGTAATTTGTGCAGTTAAAATGGGGACTGTTCAGACCAATAACATCATAACACTTTGAAAGTTCGAGTTTACAAGCAGCTCAATTTTTGAACACCTCGTAAACTATGGTCACATAGCCCTAGTAAAGTCATCTATAAAACCAAACAAACTGAAACTTATGCACTACAAACTCTTTGGCAATCCAGCTATTTAATGCTAAACTGATTATACAAAGAATAACACATTCGATATTTCATTTTATCTTAGTTAAAACTTGGCTGTTTATCTTTAAAACTTAATTATAAATTGTTATTCACTCCTTTATAATTTTCTTTATAATTATTGACTAGCTGTTAATTCACTATTCAGTTATTATTTTCTTATTAATCAAGTGAATAATTATCTCTAAATTATCTTCATGTTATAATTTTTAATTGGTCCTTAGATCTTTACATAACCTGCTATGTTAGTTAGTTAGTTAGAGGTAGTTGACATAGGCTTCGTGCGACATACCTACGATCTTAACAGAACTGATCATCAGTATTTTAACTTGAACCCGTTTCACCCTAATTCATAGTCTGAAAAGTTAGCATTAAGCTGTTTAGGCTTTGAATAATCTCCTGTAAAATTGAGATTTCTTGTTACCTTATGTAATAACTAATCAGTTGTAATTAATCGTTGTTCGATATTTGATATTTCCAAATAATTTATTATCCAATTAAATTTTATTTATAATAAACTCATAAACATATTGCATTAATTTCAATACGATTGTACAAGCATTATTAAATAATATCAAAAGAAGGAAGATGTTCTTCTTTGAATAGTCTATATTTTTTCATTATTGACATCATAGTTTTCTTTAGTTGCTTAAATGCCTAATATTCATGAACTATTGACAAATTATTCATTCGTAATTTATGTGCCAAATAACTTTCTAAATCAATAAATTATACCATTTGTATTCCACTTAAGTGTGGTGTGCTCGGATATAGTGTATTTTCGGAGAAAATAATATTCCCTAATGACTTTTGATGAAGAAGGCTTTTAAAGTACATGGAAATAACACTTACGGATAGAATTATACTCATCTATTTCAGCTTAGTAAATCATAGACAATAGATTTTGAGTCTTTTCGTACGGTAGCTTCGTTTTTACTGTGCACCGGATTTGTTGATAGATGTCTGATATATATATATATATATATATATATATATATATATATATATATATATATATATATATATATATATATATATATATATATCAGACGAGTAAATCGAAAAAAGTAACTTATATTTTGGTGTGATTATACTGATAAAGTCATCATATGGCTTCCCTACGGGGTTTGTTTTGTATCATTCAGGCAGATCGTTAGCTAAAAAAATTATTTAAACCGTAATATTCCATTTAGTTTTGTGATGTTCAGTGATTTATATGATAGGATACTTCTAAACTGGTTCATTTGACATTAATTTAGTTAGATGCCATATACTACTTAAATAGATATATCAGCAACCTTACATTAATTACTCGTCATTTCAAAGATAAACCGTTTGATTTTGAACGGTGGGTACTTATGTATTCTTCATTGATAAGGGTTAGATAAAGCACCTTTTGTGAAACACACATTACTTAAAATTCAAGTTATAACTAAATCATTCACTAGTACTCATCGAGAAGCTTTCGGTGTTGAGAAAGTTCTGAAGTC